ATCCTTCTCCCAGCCATCTCTCATCTCTATAGTAGACGGGTTTTTTTATATTGTCTGCCTCAAGACAACAGCATGAACTGAAGAATTCCCCAAAACCCTAAACTAGCTCTTTCTTCTTCCTTCTCTTCCTTCGTGAAGAAGGGTTTTCTCCATAACTCAAAAACTTCACACCAAGTCTCGCGCTCAACGCACTAACAAAAGAGAAATGAAGCTTCACGATCAGTCGTTGTCGTACGCCACAAATAAGCGGCCCATGAACAGTTTCATGAGTCCAACGATCTCTTCCCAGCAAAAGAAAATTGCTGGGGAATCTGCAATCGCTGGTAAGTAGGTTCCAGAATTTCGTCGTTCCTTCTATTTTCCGACAGAGTCTTCCTCCTTTCTTTCAAGATTTTATGTTGCCTTGGTTCCCGAGAAAATTGAAATGCGAAGCTCGAATTTGCCGCTGGGTTAATTTCCATGCTTCAAATGTAAGGAAAAAATCTAAAAAAAAATGCACAATTGAAAAAAAGGAGGAGGTCGCCGTCGCTGTTTCTACTAGCTTTCTGCTTTTGACTTTCATCTTATCCGCCGGAGAGCTTGCACTTGGGAAGGGCCGCCGCTTCAAGCCTATTAGCTTCAGGGGAGGAAAATGGAGGCCGAGTCAGCAATGACTCTCTACCCACTGCACCGTACCAAGACCATTCATCTGGTTCGTCCCTCAATCTCATAACCACTTTTTCTGTTTCTTGCTAAGCTGTGACGCCGCCGCTTCACCGGTGAAGCCACCTCCTCCGATTATCTAATCGGAATTCGGGACAACTCGTTTGACTCCAAGGGTTAGTATTCGCAATCCCTTGAACATTTAATCCAATTTTGGGCTTAATTCCTGGTGCGAGCTGCCATTTGATGATTTTTCATCGAACACCAATGAAGGTTCTGCCACCAGAAGCTCTTCCTCTTTCCCGACAATTTCATTATTTCAATTGCAAATTGTGATGCATATTAAGATCCGTATTGGAAAACAATCCCGTCGTCGCTCGTGGAGCTTTCAAACCACTGTTTTGGTTTGGTTAGACGCTTGTCGTCTCTATGGCTTTCTCTTGGTGGAACTTCTTCTGATTCATTCTTTACTATTTCTAATCAATAGTGGCAGATTCTAATTATTTTGTATTATCTCTCCTGATTATAGTTGCTTTCCCCTGCTCTTGGTCTTTGTTTCTCGTCTGTTTCAGCGTCCTCTGTTCTAGTCCAGTTCTAGAGATGGAATCCTAATGGTCCTTCCTTGGCCGTTGTCTGGTTTAGCGTTGGTCTCTTTGCTCAGTCAGTACTTTACGTCATATGCCGTTGACGAGGGGTGGTGGCCGCCGGTGGTAGAGCTAAATATTGATTGCGCTGGTATTTTTGAATTCCGTTAATTAAGCCCTCATTTATCTTGATTTTTATTATCTTTCCTATTCTCTTTAATTAGCTTGACGGTTTCCCCTTTTTGTTTTGTTTTGTTTTAATTTCTCTATTGATTAATTAGATGCTTTCTTTGTGGCAGAGGTTAGGCTTTCCCCTTATTGATTTGGTCTTTAATTTTTTATTAGATTTGATTTAAATTCCGTTTTTCATTTTCATTTGTTTTAAATTTTATTTTACTTCCCATGATTATTATCATTTTTCAGTTTTTTTTTCCTTCCGCTGTTTAGATTACCAATTTACATTCCTGCTTTCTTTATTCTTATAGCCTTGACCTTTCTTCTTTTATTTCATTTTACTTTTTGTTTCAGGTTAATATTTTATTTTTATTTTCTTTCTTTATTTTTTATGTTCAATTATTTGGTAGAGCGCATCTTCAACTTGTGACAATGCTAGTCTCGAGTTTAACTCTTCCATGGTGATTTAGTCATACCAAAGAATTCTCAAAAATATCCACAGACTCCATTGATTTCTAAAGGTGATGGAACTCCTTCAATTGTTTTTGTTAAATCCTATTATGATATTATCAATGTTTATATATCAAAATTACTTGTTCTTAGTGATGATACGAGATGATATCTTCTTACTCATAATTCATAATGTATTGATTGTCACATATTGTGGGGATTCTCAACTGATCATCATGGATCCATCGAGAAAGTCTTCCCTTCCCGGAGCCGTATCCATTTACAGGGAAGTTTTTTCTCTCTTCCTTTTCCCGTGTCAGTTTCGTGTCTTTTCGCTCCTTGGAGCTTTCATAGAGCTGCCCACTAGTGGCATATCAGGCTCTTTTATCGGGAGTCCGGTTGCATACGGGCTACCGTTCTTTATTATTATGTATTTTGTTTCTTGTTGCCCGGCCATGCCTTAGGGCTTATCTTGGATAAAAAAAAACAGCATGAACTGAAAGTAGATCACTCCGTCTCGGCTTTTATGAAGAGATGTTGACATTAGCACTCAAATCATGACTTAATCCAACCACAGAGACAACAAGTGTAGAAATGATCAGCGCCCGCAATCCTTCTCCCAGCCATCTCTCATCTCTATAGTAGACGGGTTTTTTTATATTGTCTACCTCAAGACAACGGCATGAACTGAAAGTAGATCACTCCGTCTCGGCTTTTATGAAGAGATATAATAGGCACTTACTGTATGTCATTCCCCTACCGAGCAGCACAACTATTGTTCCGATGTGCTTCAAATTTAAAGTCAGAAGCTCGAACTACTCAGCAAATCTTACTACTGCCCAAGGGGAATCTTTTATGTACTGATTGTTGGCATTAGTCGCTCTCTTTTTTTTTTTTATGAGTGTGACATCATTTATTGATTTAGAAAAGAATAATAGAAAGGAATGAAAAAAACAAAGAGACGAGCATCAAGAGTGAGAACTGCACAAATCGTGTTACTCAAATCATGACTTAATCCAACAATAGAGACAACAAGTGTAGAAATGATCAGCGCCCACAATCCTTCTCCCGGCCATATCTCAACTCTATAGTAGACGGGTTTTTTTATATTGTTTACCTCAAGACAACAGCATGAACTGAAAGTAGATTACTCTGTTTCGGCTTTTTTGAAGAGATATAGTAGGCACTACTGTATGTCATTCTCCTACCGAGCAGCACAACTATTGTTCCGAGGTGCTTCAAATTTAAAGTCAGAAGCTTGAACTACTCAGAAAATCGCTCAAGAGTTCTCTCATTTGCAAGTTTGAGTTTACAATCTTCTCTCATGTAAATTTTTTTTGTAGTTCGATGTTGGATTGTTGTCTCAACCTTCAACGACTTCTGCCTTTTCAGAGACGTCATTGAAGATTGTGCCGTTTAGTTACTCTCTATTTATTAAGGTAGGAAAGATAGTAGGAGGAAGGAAAATTTGGAGTGGAACGGAAATGGGTGTTGTGGGGGTGGGGGGGGGGGGGGGATTTTGGATGAGGGGGGAAAATTGCCTCCATCGTTGCGGTGACGTGAACTTAGGCCTGGCTGGAAATAGGGATGGCAATCAAACCCATACTCACGGGTATCCGACCGCCCCGGACCCAATTAACGCGGGGAATCCCCGCATTGACCGGGTATGGGGCGGGTATGGGTAAAATCGCAAAAAGTTTGATGGGTATGGGGCTTGTATGGTTTTAGTCTCCCCCGCCCCATACCCATACCCGCCCCGCCAAAAATATTTCTTCGTATATGAAAAATATGTGAATTAATTTGTAACCTATCAAATATCAATAATAGTGAGTATAACTCAATAAAAATATATAGTAGAAATGCAATTGACTGGCCACCCAAATCAAAATCTAATATCTTTCTCAATTTTCCTTTCACTCTTTCACTTTTTCCCCTTGTTAAGAAGATTATGTTAGTTAATTATTACTTAATAGATGTATCAGAGTAGAGAATAGTGATTTGGATGACATTGTACTCTACTCTGATATGGATTAATGGATACTTTAGGATAAGATGGTTTGAATCGTATTAAAAATGATTGTCTTTTTTGTCGACTTTTGAATCGTATTAATGTTATAATTGAAAATCTATATGTAAAATATTCGGTATTATAATGCTGAATGTACAGGGTGGGTATTACCCATGGGTACCCGAAACCCATGGGTATGGGGATGGGTTTGCAAAACCTTCCCCTGCATTGGTATGGGGCGAATATGGGTATAGATATTTGAAAGCGGGAATGGGGATGGTTTAGGCAAACCCGCCCCAAACCCGCCCCATTGCCATCCCCAGCTGGAAACCATAATTCTGAGTTTGACTTTGATTTAGCACGTAATAGGGGTGAGCATACGGTTCGGTAAAACCGAACTTAACCGAACCGAACCGAATTCAAACCAAACCAAAACCGAATAACATTAATTCGGTTCGTAATTCGGAAGAGAAAAGGGTATATTTCGGAAATCAAGGTCCTTTCGACCGAACCGAATTTCCGAATTCCGAACCGAATTTTCGAATTACTATAATTGCAAGTTCCAAATGGTGAATTTTTATGTTTGTACTTATTATGAGACTTAAATATTTGAATTATGTTAGTGTTTTATGACTTATGTGTTGAAATGTTTGATTTTATCATTGATGATGCCTTTAATTGCATATTTATTGTTTACATTAGGGGTGAAAAATAATTTAAAAGAGAAAAAAATACAAGCTAACCTCACAAATTCGGTTTTCCATACAAAACCAAACCGAACCAAATTATAATTCGGTTTGAACCGACCAAACCGAATTATAATTCGGTTCGAATTCGGTTTGAGGTTTGATAGAACTCGGAAACCCGGTATACATTATTTCGGTTCGGTTTGAACCGAACCGACCGAATGCCCACCCCTAGCACGTAAGACCGGTCATAGAAAATCACCCACTTTCAGTTTGTTTGAAGGTTATATAGGTTGGATTTTATCGTCGCATTTCTTTATCAATCTATTATTGCTTTACAAGACAACATAACTTGATCATGATACATCAACATGCAAACCCAGTACACACATTATTATTTGGCCACACAGCATATATATAACTCGATCCATTCCGTTTTCCCGGGCAGCGAACCAACTAGCCGTCGCGTACAAAGAACGCGCCGCTGTTCTTTGCTACGACATCTTCCATGTGCTCGAGCTTGAACTTGGCGAAGTCCTTGGGCAGATAGATGAGTAGGGCGGTCGACTCTTGCCGGAACCTGAGGATTTGCGGGTGGTCGTCGCCGTACTTCTCCCACCCGAGCTCCGACAGCTTCTCCTCCAGGACCGTGTACGACGTCACCTCCTCGCCGGTCGGCGCGTCCACCAGCACCTGCCGCCGCTGACCCTTGGGCGGGTTGTGGTTGTCGACGAGGCGGTAGGCGCCGTCCTTCACCTCCCACACGCCGGCCATGTCGTTTTGAATAATGGATTGGATGGGGAAGGGAGGTGGTGAAGTTATGGGGAATTGAGATTGATGTGGTTGTTTATTTATAATATTAGAGGAAGAAGGTGTTTCCAAGTGTGCTTGGAGGAAAGTGGGATGGAAATTGAGAGATTGGGAAGAGTATATATTCTATTCTAGAGTAGAGAAAAAGGATAATGATAATGTTGGGTTTTTTTTTTTATTGTGTTGTGTATCATGTGTGTGTGGTTTTATAATAAAAAAAATGTGTTGGGGGAGGACTGTGCTATCAAAGTTTGGGAGGTAGCTATGTACAAATCTTAATTTCTACAAGTATCTAATGGAGGAGAGGCAAATTGTTACATGTTTGTGAAGATAAAAAAAAACAATCTAGCTTATATCACTTCCAACAAAAGAACCTCTCGTTATGAGGTGTTTGATCGGTAACGACCTTTGAAGAGCTGTTTAGGCCCGAGGGGAGGGATGTAGGAAAATTGTAGAGATTGCGTTGGAGGGAACGATTGATTTAACTAGTATTTAGAGGGGGAAAGTCACCAAAATCTAGAGGAAGAGAAGAGTTTTATAGACCAGAGAGATCAGGAGGAAAGAAGATTGTATCGAGAGGAGGTGGATATAGAACGAGACATATAAAAGAAGGATTGGACGACGCTTAAGAAATGCCTTTTCAATCGTTTCTGCTCTCTTTGATTTAGCAAAATACCACTGCGGTTTTTTCAACTTATGAATCACATGGTTAAATCACAAGGTAAATTTACCTCTCTCTTCTCAATTATGATTCCATTTTTAGTAGCAAGTCAATAAATTACATCCATTGACATGGTAGAGTTTGAGTAAGAAAATGGTAGTGATTAGTGAACATGTGCCTCGTTGTACACACAAAATCAATATTATTGTGATAATAAACTACTTATTAGTGAGACTGGAAGAAAGGGATAGACATTGAGATTTGGAATTGTATATATTCTTATTCTAGGGTAGAGAAAGGACACATGCTCATGAAGACGTACTATTAAATTGATTATGTGTATTGAGGGTATGGTATAGTTTTGAAGTGGTAAGAAAGACATTCAAATTTATAGAATCTCAATAATTAGTGTATGAAGTTAAACTAATCAATCAAATCAATACCAAATCTATAAAAGTTGAGCATTCTAGAGGTTGAGAGATTGAGTAATGGCTATTTATCTTTGTTTTTATATTCATATATGGAGAATCTTTATCCACAGTCACTTGGGGAAAACTATTGTAAGATGAATTTGATCACCACTTTTTTTTCATCTGATCTATAGAGATGGTTTATCTTCTATAATTAGGGAGAGTTATGTCTGTTGATTGCATTTTTTTGGTACTTGTTGGCTACTATATAGAAGAACCGAAATAATAACCTATATTAAGGTCAGATTGAATCTTATAGATACGAACAACTTCTCATATATTGAAGACCATAAGTTCACTTAGAGCACACCCATAACGAGGCCAAAATTGTGACCGACTATTTAGCGTAACTAGGCCCTTACTTATCATTGGCGAGCACACTTTCCATTTTCCTCTAATGGTCTAATTAAATGTATTATATGCTTAAATCAAAAGATAATTAAATGGGAGAAGAACCTTTCCTTTTGTATGTTGAACGATGGACCGAGTTTTATGCGAGGATATAAAAGTGTACCAGGCCTTATAAAGGCGGCCCATTGGGCTTCTTCAAACTCATAAATCTGAACTAACAATAAACTCTATCAAGAATATACAAAATTTTGTTTTTCCCTTGATATTCTTATAACTATGTGGTTTGAAGAATAACAGTTTATATCTCTAGATTTTATTTTTTATATAAAATAAAAAAACTAACTCTCTAAATTATTTAAAAGGATTTATAATGACAAAAATAATCACACCAATTCATATACAGAATATCTACATAAAAGATTTTATCTCTTGACTTTATAGATTTGAAATCTGATAAACCTAAAATTTACAATATAAAAATAACAACCAAATAACATAACATTTTGTTAATATCTGGTTTGAGTCTATATTCCAATTTTTTTTTTGGCAAAAGATAATCATATATTGATACCAAAACATAGATAGTTACATCCTGGAACAAAGCCAGGTCCGAAAATCAAAGAAGCGACTCATAGTCGGGTACAAAGAGAGGGCTTTCCTAGCCACCAAATGGGCTACCCTATTACTACTCCGACCTACAACCCGCACACTAAACCCAGGGTTGTTACCAAAATACTGCAATACTTCCTGAAAAATGGCACCCATCCGGTTGTCCCTAGCATCCTTGCAGTTGATTTTATCAATGATGATCTTGGCATCCCCTTCAAAGCTCATCCCCGTAAAACCCAGACCCAAACACCAAGCAACAGCCTCCCGGAGCACAAGCAACTCCACCACAGCTGGGTCATCAATCCCCTGAAACTGAATCCCATTAGCCATAAGAACATCCCCCGAGAGAGACAGAAGAACCATGCCACCTGCTGAGTGGGAGCCCTTCCTGGTAGCCCCGTCCCACTGGCAGGTAAGCCCAGCAGCCGGACCCGGCCCATCTGACCGTGGAACCATGGGGGGAGGCATGGGGGGCACATCCACCGGCAACCCCATCCATTCCTCATATTGCTGGGGAAAAAAAGTCTATATTCCAAATCTTATTCTCCAAACAACTCATAAAGAGTAAAAAGTTGGAAGGAATTCCACCACAACTCAATATGATGACCTGGCAACATAATTGTAGTGTACAAGTTGTCAAATCGGTTTATGCTGGTACGTCGGTTTCATAAATGGAATGATTCTACCGTGATATAACTAGTTTTGTGTAGGTTTATGCCGGTTTTAATAAAATTTATAAATATAAATTTGAATAACTTATCTTAAATTATATTTCTAGAATCTCCTTTCACATTTAAATGTATAGTTTTATTATTTTATTATTCCCATAATATTGCTAGTGGGAAGAAACAGAAAAAATGGAGTTTTTCCATATATAACCTATAGGGTGTGCCTACGGTGACATGCATGTCATGGTGACTTGCACTTTCCGGTCGACCTTAGTTAGAATTAGGTCGACCTCATTTAGAATTCGGTCGACCTCATATAGGATCTGTTCGACCTCATTTAGGATTTGGTCGACCTCATATAGGATCAGGTCGACCTAATCTGTTGTTTCAGTGTAAAAACAGTTCATGGTGCCTACTTTGGATATTCATATCATACAATTGGCTAGATGGAAATTGAAGACTAATGACTTGTTTTGAAGCTGGAGTGTCCCTCTACCTATTGAAGTGATTGAGAGCTAGATAGGAAGTCCAGAAGACCATTTTTGAACCTCATCAAAAGGCTATGCCAAAACTGGGAAACTGCCTGGAAATGGCTAAGTCTGAAAACGTGTTTGTGAAGCCTATTTTGGAGCTCAATTCGAGAAGCATGAATGCGAGTCGAGTCCAGGAGCCTCTACCACGTTAAATTAGGTATGTTTTTATACAAATTCAAGGCATTGGATGAAAGATTGGATATCTGTAAGGCTTCAAACAAAAGGGTCGAAGTTTCTACGAAAGCTGTTTTTCTGGCAGACTTCGAGCACAAGCAAGCTGCCAGAAAACAGCCTTCGTAGTAACATCGAGCCTTTTTTTTAAGCCTTAAAGATATCCAATATTTCATCCAATGCCTTGCCTTTGTATAAAAAAATACATAATTTAACGTGGTAGAGGCCCCTAGACTTGACTCGCATCCATGCTTCTCAAATTGAACTCCAAAGAAGGCTTGACAAACACGTTGCCAGACATAGCCATTTTCAGGCAGTTTCCCAGTTTTGGCATAGCCTTTTGGTCAGGTTCAAAAATGGTCTTCTGGACTTTCTATTGAGCTCCCAAGTACTTTAATGTGTAGAGGGACACTTCAGCTTCAAAACAAGCCTTTAATCTCCAATTTCCATCTAGCCAATTGTAAGATATGAATCTCCAAAGTAGGCACCATGAAACTGTTTTTACACTGAAACAACAGATTAGGTCGACCTGATCCTATATGAGGTCGACCGAAATGTGCATGTCACCGTGACATGCATGTCACCGTAGCAAAGTCCTAACCTATATACTTTCTATAATAACATTTCCATAATAATAAAAATAAAAAGAAGTAAAGAAAGAAAGTGGTAAATGCTCCACTGGAAACCCCCATTTCCAGTTGGTAACATAGCCTGGAGGTGAAACCGCTGGTATGATTGGCTCGGGATGTGAGAGATCCTGACCCAGCGACAGGTGCTTCTCAGATTTAGTAAACCCCGCAGTCATAAAATGGCATGTAGGGTTGAGGTTCCTGGATTATTAAAAAAAATCACTTCCTGTTGGTTTTTGGTCCATCCGTTTTTTTTTTTTTTCTATTCCCCGTCCACTACTGCGGGCTGCAACCCATCTCATTCCCCTCTCTAAAAATTTCCAGCATGCGGATGTCTAATTTCGGAATTAAAGATTTCAGTTGAACCATTCAAGAATTTCTGGTTTTGACCGGCATTGACCAACGCATAATACCAGTGACATTCTAGCCGGTTTCATGACAACCATAAAAGACTATCAATTATGCAAAATTTCAATTAGAGGTGTCAATCGGGCGGGTTCGGGCTGGGTTCAATCGGGTTGCGGGCTGGTCGGGTTGCGGGTCGATCGGGTTGCGGGTTGGTCGGGTTCGGGTTCATCGGGTTTCGGGTCAATCGGGTTGCGGGTCAATCGGGTTGCAGGCCAATCGGGTTGCGGGCCAATCGGGTTGCGGGTCAATCGGGTTACGGGTCAATCGGGTGCGGGTCAATCGGGTTGCGGGTCGGACGGTTCGGGTTGCGGGTTTCAAGATACTGGTATTTCGTGGTTGAACCGCCGATACAGTACGATTTAATGTACCATGGTCCATGGAAATTGGCATAATGAACAAAACAAACATTAAGCCAAACAGGCAAATTTTAGAATTGGCGCCTTCACCCGGGAAATGTAAAGAGTTTGGCGCCCACCCTCCTTTATTTTTTTGGCTTTAGTTGGGACCACTTTCTTGTCCATTTTTGCCCCTTATTTATATTTACCTTAATTAATAATTACATGTTAGTTTACTGCACACCATTGGAACGAGTTTGGGTGTGTAATTTGTTTCTAAATCACACACACGTTTAACTCAAAATTTTAATCTGGCTTGCCCAAAAGTAAATCTCGCATTTTCTAATATCTTCGTCCAAACTATTTTTTGAGAAAGTAAGAAAATGAAGAAGGATGACAAAGTAACAACACATAACCCTTTGTTAGCCAACAATTAATAGAGATTCCAATTTGAAAATTAAATTTTTGAGTTCCCAAACGACCAAGCAATTAATTAAAAGGAAAAGCAGGCCCAACGTACCCAACTGCGTATTTATTCCAGTGGACTCTTTCATACTTGTCTTATAGTCTATATACCCTAAACCCCTAATGGTTTGATTCATGAACATATGTTAATAAGAAAAGTTTATCTTATTAGTTATGATTTTGACTAACCGTGGTCAAACCATTAATATCTTATACCCTAACCCATTATATACCCGTTACACTAACCATATACCCTATACATCGACTCTATAGTCTATATACCCTAAACCCCTAATGGTTTGATTCATGAACATATGTTAATAAGATAAGTTGATCTTATTAGTTATGATTTTGGCTAACCGTGGTCAAACCATTAATACCTTATAACCTAACCCATTATATACCCGTTACACTAACCATATACCCTATATATCGACTCTATAGTCTATATACCCTAAAGGCCTAAACCCCTAATGGTTTGATTCATGAACATATGTTAATAATATAAGTTGATCTTATTAGTTATGATTTTGACTAACCGTGGTTTTGGAGTTATTTTGGAGTTATTTTGGACCCTCGTTATAAGGTTGCTTTTGTGAAGTATTGCTATGATAAGTTGGGTGGAGAATATGTTTCAAAAGCCGAGGATGTTGTGGATGATTTGGAGTTGCTTTTGAAAGAATATAAGACTCAATCGGCCACTTCAGCTACTCAAAGTGGTGTGTCTATGAATTCTTCAAGTGTTCCCTTGGACAATTACACTGCTGTAAGTATTTGTTTGTTGTACATTAATGAATTATGTTATTGTGTTTTGGTCTTTGGTTAATTATTTGTTTTGTTTCATGTACATGCTAACTGTAAAGGAAATGATGCACATGCTTATGTGTTAATATCAATGATATCTATATTTATTGTTTGTAGGGGTTTTATGCATCCAATATCAACCACAATACATCAACTAGTTCTGAGTTGCAATTGTATTTGGCTGATCCTTTGATACCTGCATTTGGGGAGATTGATGGAGTCGCTAAGCTACTTCCTTTTGATGTCTTGCAATATTGGAAGGACCATCAATTTCGATTTCCTCACCTCTCTAAAATGGCAAAGGATGTACTTTCTATTCCAATTTCATCAGTTGCATCAGAGTCTTCTTTTAGTTTGGGAGGAAGAATATTAACAAAATGGAGAACTTCGATTTTGTCTGATACTCTTGAAGCTGTTGTGACAACTCGTAATTGGATACGAGGATACCAAATGGGTAAGAAGAAACAAATTGTTATATTTGTATTGAACAAACTATTCTCTTTTTCTTATTATTTTCTTTTCACTGATTAATTGTACAGATGACGATGATGAAGATACGACTCGTGATGGAGAAGAAGTAAACCTTCTAGAGTGATCGTCATTTGGAATGCCAATTTGTCTTTTGGACATGTTTTATTGATATTTGAGGTCTTGAGACAATATGAACTATTATGAATCATGTATTCTTGTTATGATCAGACTTTTGTGAACTATTATTCATCTTTTTTATGATAGAATCATGATATTTGGATTTTAAATCTTATAATTATCTTATTATGCTAAATTAATATTTTATAATGTTATGTGCACTATTAGGTTGATGATGTATCTAAATCAATATTTGATGATGTTATATGCGTTAATAGGTTGATGATGTATTTATTATACTAAGTTAATAATTGATGATGTAATGATCAGATTTTAGTGAACCAGGATTTCAAATGTCAACTTATAGAGTTATAGTTTATCTTCATCGAATTCCTTCTATTATAGTCGGGTTGGTCGGGTTACGGGTTCGGGTTAGTCGGGTTCGGGTTAATCGGGTTGCGGGTTGATCGGGTTGTGGGTTGGTCGGGTTGCGGGTCGATCGGGTTGCGGGTTGGTCGGGTTACGGGTTGGTCGGGTTACGGGTTAGTCGGGTTGCGGGTTGGTCGGGTTGCGGGTTGGACGGGTTGCGGGTCGGGCGGGTTACGGGTCATTGACTTTTAGTCAAAATCGGGTTGCGGGCGGGTTGCGGGTCGGGTTGATCGGGCGGGTTACTCGGGTCGGGTTACATTTTGACAGCTCTAATTTCAATTGACACGAAGTTGTTCCCATTAAGTATGTATCTCGTACAAGATTAAAAGAGCCAAAAACTCACACAAATATTGGAAGACTAAAATAGGGCATCATTCCATAAGTAAAGGATTGTAAAGTGAAGTAGATAGAACGACAAAGCCAAATCAAAACAAGATCAGCGTTTCTGTTTGAATTTGGTTGCAATATGTATAAGTTATGTGGAGTTATCGAAACAGAGAAAATGAAAGGAAGTCTCACTAAGTATTGGAAGACAAAAACAAACTATCAAACTTCCTCGCCATGGGTAAACCATAACAACGCACGATACAAAACGAGAAAAGAAGAAGAAGAAGAAGAAGAAGAAGAAGAAGAAGAAAGTTCTATAATTATATGACAGATGATGCAATACAACACAAAAGCCCATACAGTTTCCCACTCTCCCGCAGCCAATCCCTCCAGCCAGTGAATAACTCTTATCATCCCATCGCCGGCCGGTTGTTCAATCTGCTGCTTCTCCAGAATCCAAAACCTCTCGTCCAGGAAGAACCTTACATTTTCCCTATATGTGTATGGAGTGCATGCAAATGGCAATTAACACAACCACAAGAAGCGGTTTGCCCCCCCGCTTAATTGGTGCAATTGAATCCACCGCAAATCGAAAGCCAGATGATGAGGACGAGGAGCAACAAGATTCCGAGAACGACCAGCTTGATCTTCATGTTCTGGTACCACATTTTACGCCTGATTTGCGTCCCTTGTCTCTTGTATGTGTGTGCCTGACAGAAAGAATATCCCAAGCAGAAAAAGGTCGTTCTTACTTTCCTGGATCAGCAAGTGAACTTGTGTAGATGGGCAAAGATTCGATCCTTTCTTTTACCTGATCTCGCAGATTTTCGGTTTTGTCCACGAGGGTGTTTATGTTCTCACCTCTCTCGATTGCCTGAAAAGATATATGTAAAAAGAAAATGGAATTAGTTTGGTGTTTGGATAGAATGCTGACCAAACTTGGCTTTTCCAGCATACTACTGTCCCAGCATAGGAGCTTGAAATTAATAGCAAAGACGTTGGTTTTCTTAATTTATTACAACTTGAAATTCCTTCATCATTTGCCAATAATCAGCCGAAGAAGGGATTTCTCATTAGCAAAGCTAGTAGTTTACAGAGTTTTACTCTAGTGGATGCAATTTCTATTGTTTACTAGAAAATCCTAGTTCCAGAAGGAAAACAAGATAGCGGTTCAGGTTTCCCACCAGAGACAAGAGTTTTCAAGAAAAGGGTTCACATTACCTTGTCAATGTTGCCTAACATTATGCTTTTCACTTCTGAAACCTGAGCTTTTACTTTCAGTAACTTCTCAATCTCTTCAGCATGCTCAATAATATACTTCATATGCTCTTTCATAACAGGTCTGCAAGAACAACGACGAACACATCATCGTTTCATCGACACTATAAAATTTGCACATCGGAAATTCACTATTCTGCCTTCCAGGTTGTCACCAGTTTTTTCCATACCCGAATTCCTTGTTGAGACTTTTGGCCATAGCAGTGCCAGCTTTACCACCTCCGTATCTTTGCTTGAAGTCTGCCTTCATCCGTTCCAAGAACGCAATCGAGATCTGCTTGCTCATCGCCTCTTTCGCAACAACACAATAAGCTGGCAACAAGCATTCAACAACAAAGCACAGCTAAGTAAGCATCCTTCAAATTGCACCTTAAGGATACATATAAACTCCTTTTTTCAACTTTATCCTTTTGGTTCTCCTATAACTCTACCAATTGCAGGAAATTTTTCAAATTCAGACGCCGAAAAGTTCAATCAATGATCAAGACCAGCATCCAATTCGTCCAAATTTGGAAGAATTGAAGGAGTCCATATTTGGAAAATTGAAAACAATTGACTTAGCAGACCAAAGCCTAAGAACATTGTAACAAACAACTACAAGAATCCAGCAGGAAAACAACCATGGGAGCTTCCATTGCATGGCCCAATCCAGCAATGAAGACACCCAACAAGAACCCCCCAATTTCCAGACTTTCACCTTAGCAAATTGCCCTAGTTCAATTCCACCATTGCATTCCACTCAGCTCTCGAAGGAAACAGCGGAGAGTTCTTAACAATTCTAGCTCCGGATTCGTCCTACCACTACTAGATCCGTATCATTCCACTAGAAACAAAACGGAAGACGACGAAACAACGGGAGAGAGAGAGAGAGAGGTGGGGAATCAGGGCTTACCGTAGCCATCCTCGACGAGGAAATTGAAGGTGTGGTGGTCGCAATTGTAGGTGAACTTGTCGTTAGAAGAAGGCAATCTCTGTAGGCACTGAGCAGCGATCGCCGGGAAGTTGCCGGTGAACTCGGTGTACTCTGCCAGCACCACCGTGCCTCGCGCCACGAAGCTGTAGATGAACGATTCCTGATTCGTCCTCGCCATGAGCTTTACTCGCTAATACTGCCTCCGGGGGGAGTTCCAGCTACCGCGCCGCCGCCGAGGAAGCAAGAGATTTGACGAAACGGGAGGGTTTGAGAAATGAAGGAAGGAAGGAAATGGCTGCTGAGATGAGCTATAGCTTGGTTGCTAGGAATCCATTTTTGTAGAGATCCTTTTTCTTTCTTTCTTCTGCTTCTTCCTCCTCTCTTTCTGCCTTTACTATGAAGAAAGAATGTTCCTTTCCCCTGAGACGGAGTCGCAGTGGAAATTGGGAAAAATCGAGAAGAAGAGAAAAATGGGGGTTGGTGCTGGTGAAACGACCGCGTTTGATTCGAGAATGAATCGGCGTTGGACGACGGTGTTAGACTGACCTGGTAAAGTGGTACGACTTTGGTCTCATTTTATGGGCTCATTTGAGGAGGAAATTTAGAAGTGGGATTGTGTTTGAAAGGAAATTTCCAATTCATAAAAAAAAAAGGGAACTTCCAAAATTTATTGTTTGAGCGGATATTTTTTTAATATTTTATTGTGATATGTTTTTCAAAATCACTGTTTGATTTGATGTTTTTGCTGATAGTCATCGTTAATTGCATCATTACTTGTGATCAAATCTCAAATACACTACATAGATGATATTCATATTGCATAGACCATTAAAATTGCACTCAAGTGCATTGGAAGTTGGTACAAACAAATTGTTTAATTAAGGGGTCGTTTGGAAGTTGCGATTGTTAGTGTTGTATTTGTTAAATACATGCATTATCCGCAATACAACGTTTGGAAGTGTCAAGTTGCAAAACAATGCATGTATTGTTTTGTGTGGGTCCCACCAACAATCAACAAAAATGAGGGATTGTACAATCTCAACTAAAAGTTGAGATTGTTGTGATTGTTGGTTTAATAATTCATCACCTTTACTTTTTCCAATTATGTCAATAGTTCTTTTTGTTGTATATTAAAAGTGGAGGACAAATATGACATTTCCTTATAAAGTAACTTTATAACAATTAATTCATAAACTATAATCTCAACAACCAAACAATGTAATTTCAAAATGCATCTATTGTATCAATGCATGCATTTATATCATAGTGATTCATAACAATACAACGAAATGAAATTATAAATTACGCTCTGAGAAATACATCCAATCAAACATCCTCCTAATTAAAACAAAAACTTGACCTAGTAGTAATACCACTACTTTTAACTTTGAAGGCTCAAGGTTTGAATTTCTTCAGTAGCATCTAGTTTTTTTTTTAAAAAATCAGCCTACGTTGGCCCTTATAAAAAAAATTTGAATCCTTCAGCTGCCAATATCTAATCTCAAATTTCTCCCAAAAAAGTGAGATTGGTCAATTGTATGATAAGAAAGCCAAAGTTAATACAATTCCTTCTCTAAATTTATCTACACAATGATATTCTGATGATTTTGTAGGTTTAAACTTTGTCGATTTTCCGTTATGCCAATTTGAACATTTCGTAATATTTTAAAACTTTTATATCCAATGAATTTTGTTTTGCCACTAGTTGGATCGTCTATATAATTATCATGGTAACCTTTGATCATATGTAATTCATAATTAGCAAAATCACACAAATTGGGTATTCCAAACCGAGAAAGGGTGCAACCGATTTGATGCATTGAGGGACTTCAATCACCTTGCATGCTAATGCCGATTATTAGACATAAGAGCCCTCATTGGTATTAATTGTTATCGTTCATGTGAAGTTTTTAAACAGATTATCATGAACTTGTCAAAAGAAGCCCAACTAGACACTATCCATATTTTTTCCATTGCTCAAAAGCACCAAGTCTGAATGCATGTAAAGATCGTTTTAACGGCCAAGCTATACTCTCTAGCGCACGAGTCGAAAAATCTAATTAAGAACAGGGAGGAATTTATCTCGTTTTAACCGTAGATTGTTGGAATCGGTTTCTATAAAAATTCCTTCGAGCTAAAAATACTATATGAGGTGAGTTTTTTCATCAGAAATTTTGATTTGCACATACATATGGTCTGAATTATACTTTATCAATAAAAAAAAAATTGGCGAAGTGATCCAAACACGCAATTATTGATCAAACCCTGTTTTTTTTTTTTTAATGGGGGCAGCTTTCTTCCGCCGGCGGCGACAAGTTGAACTTTCTGGAAATCCGATTGGAGATAAGGGAAATGACAAGGACGTTTCCATGGAAAAAGATGGGCAGAAAAAGAGAGCCGTATTTGTTGGGTGGGAAAAGGAAGGAAAACAGCCGTAAATACCATGCCGTGCTGAAAAGCTAATTATGCCATTGCTTTTCCCACTTACCGTGACTGATTTTCGGTGGTGGTGGTGCACAACTTGAGTCTAATTCCGACCAGTTCCCTTTTTTTCATGACTTCAAAAGCTAGGGAAGTGGCTCCAGAAGAACACACATACTCAATTATGGGATAGTCAAAGTGTTGGAAATGGACCATTTTGGATCGGGACGATTGGGTGTGTGACTTCTCTTATTCTCACGAATTCCAAAAACAGAAACAAAGACGAGCATGTCTAGTCGTTAGTCAGTTAGTGCGAGTACGGAGGGGAGAAGGGATAACTCACACTCAACAAAAATTTTTTAGGTATAGAGCGTTGCTCTGTGACGGTGTCTGCGCCAACAGAGTAGGAGGAGTGACGATTCAGGGTTCTCCGGTTGGATCTGGGTGATGAGAGAAGGTGAAACCTATTGGAGCTAGACTGATCAGTGAGGAGAAGAAATGTCATAGAGAGGGTAAGATGCGAAATGGGAGTGCAAACTTGGTCTGCCGCCAGGAGAGAGTCGGGTGGGAATTCGACCCCGGATCACTGGTCCGAAAAAATAAAATATTACACAGATTTTATGATAAACTCTGATTATATGTTACTAGACTCCTTAAATCATACTTGCTAATTTTATATACTATTTTAAGCAGGGGCGGACCTATGTTATAGGGTGGTGTGTCAATTGACACACCTCCAAAAAAAAATATCGATAAAAAAGTAAGGTTCGTCAGTACTAAAATTCGAACACAAGACCTCTTGACACAGCTCTATAGTAGACTCATAATCATTCCATCAGATTAGGAACATATTATTGTTATAACTTTGCTAAAGAACGTATTGTATACAGAAATTTATTAATGTGTAAATAATTTCCTTATACGGAAAGTTTATTGAATCCTCCACCCAATTCCAATTTTGATTGTAATAGAACTAATATCCTTATAAAAGAAACCCTATACCTATCTCGATTACAATTTATAAATGAAACCAAAAACTCTCTCACATGCACAGGACAATCCCTCTTCCTTTCTATTCTCACACCGCCGGCAAAGTAAGCGGCTACATTTATCATGTCAAGCAAGATGAGACCTTCAAGGGACTGCGAGGAATCGATGAGCTAGCTAGGCGAATGGTGGAGACAGGAAAGGATACTACTTGGCCATTGGTGTACTTTCAGAGTATGGAAAGCCGTCGTGGCTCATTGTAAGAAATTAGAACTTTTATAATTTATGAATTATTTTTATTTTTTAATTTTATTATATTGAACCACCTCTCTAAGAATCCTGGGTCCGCCACTGATTTTAAGTGTTGTTCTTTTTGTTTGAGTTTAATGATACAACCACCATATATTGATTTTAGTCATTGTGATTTCTGTTCTCCACAACGAAAATATCATAATAATATATTCTCATGTCAAAAAATTATCAATGGATGAATGATAACTAATGTTTTTTGTCATTCTTAAATTTGAAAGTTAAAAGTGAAAAGGACATAACAAATTAACAATGCTTGTCTTACAATCTTACTACTATTAGTGATTTTTTTTTTTTTTTTGTGTGTGGTAAAACTATTAGTGATTTTCCAATTGTTCTATGTTGGTAGTTTCATAATGAATTTCTAGCCCTTGTTCGAACATACATTAACTTTACAACATCTATTCCCTAAAACATTTTACAAGTTGTTAAAGCTTGACATTTCAAAGTTATAATTACAAGAAGTCGGTGTGATGATATTCTAATATGATAAAATTCACTTTCTCATCAAAATTTACAATTTAGTATCACTAATCATGTTTTTATCTTAACAAAGAGGATGAGGATGATGTTGACTTACTTTTCCAAAACACTTCAAAAGAAGAACAAGAATAACACAGGATGGATCTTGGTAGATGTTCTTTGGGTTCTTGTTCTTGTTGTTTACGTAGACTTCCTTTTGACTTACTTACTTAAATATACCTATATATGCCTTGTTTCTTATAGAATGCCAAATGTCAAAGGAAAAAAAAAATCAATTTAAGTCAGCAAATATATTAGGGGCTGATTGTCTATAATAGAATGGTTGGACAAGCTACAATGAGCTTATACACTATTAAAAGGACCGATTATGGAATCATGAACTAGGGAAATGAAGCTAAGTATTATTCATTCCTGCAAATGCCCGTGGATAATACCTTCCCCGAAAATCCAAACAAAATTTAAACTCAAAATTAATGTAATCAAGTTGAAGACACATACGAATACGACTTAAGAGTTAGAATATCGAACAAAGATTATATATCATAAATAACCACAAAAAGTACAAGAAATATAGAAAAAATTTAATTTGTAGAGGAAATTAGGGATAAAATTTGACATATATGTATTGTTGGAATAAAAAAAAGTGAAACAGATGATAATTTATGAAAGTCGAGAGACAATTATTGCTAATTTCCCTAAGCAAGAAGCACAAATATTTAGCATTGCATTAATCGATTTTTTTTTTGTGTGTGTGAAAGATGACGAGATAAAGATTAGATTACATGTTGTATGTAGTATATGAATTACATGCACAACGTTTATTCGTATGGATCGGACGAGACATCTAAATTCATCCCCGACCCATCCCCACCACTTTTTTCGTGGATATTACCCATACCAGCCTCATCACATGTTAATACGGGAATTTCCTTCATTAACTGGGTCGGGAATGTTCGGATTTTGTGGGTACAATTCCTTCGTTGTAACTTTGAACTTCACACTTTGGTTTGGGCCGAACAGGTAAAGCATGTTGCCGTCCGAAAGAGACTATTATGCATGTCGGCCCAAAATAAGACGGATTATGTTACCCAAGCCCAGGTAATTAAAATTAGGCCCCCGAGCATAAGAATAAATAATAGAAAAATGGAAAAGCCCAAGAAACAAAATACAAAAACACCGCCGGTCTTCCAGATTTCATGTGTAAGCACTAAGCAGACTACAACTGCAGTTCAGTCATTTCTCTCTCTCTCTCTCCCCCATTGCTGTCTTCCAAATTCCAATCAAGTCTCAAATCAACGACCCTTGCCGCCGCGCCCAAATCCTCATCCAAATTCAAATTTTCCGATTCCACTTCCTCTCTCTACAGTTTCCGACCCCCAAATCGATCCGCCTCAGCCAATGACCGACTCCGACTCCGCCACCGCGCAATCCCCATCTCCGTCTCCGCCGGCCGCTCCTCTCGCTCCGGTTTACTTCTACTTCTTACTCGCCCCTGCCTTCAATCCCCTCTCTTCTCCATATGTTTCTCATTTGTTGCATCGTTTCTCATTTCCGATTCTTTTTTTTGCCGTGTCGAGCCGGCTCCAGAGGAAGGAGAATCTGACACCGGTCGGTTCCAAGATCGCGGTGAGAGATTGCTTCCTCATTTCCTTTCAACCCTTTGAATTTCGAATTCTCCTGGGAGGGGTTTTATTTGGATTTAAATATTAAGAAAGAATCTCCGCGTTTGGTTTGCAGGAACTGAACGAATCGAGGGTGGAGCTCCTTACCAGAATCCAAGGCTTGAAACAGGTCAAGTTTGAATCTTTCTCTTCGAAATTATATATGCTTTGACTTGGATTGACTGGGGCTAGACATTGATGGGGGAAGTTCTGTTTTGTTTGCGTGTTTGTGGTTTTTCAGGACTTGCATACTTGGAGATCTAAGCTAGACACTCAAATCAAAGTGTATCGTGAGGTAACAAACATCCATTGCCTCCTCCGCTCTATTAACTTAACCCATATCGTTTTCGGGTTGGTACTTCTAGTTGGTGAACTTGGAGGTTGAAAGAGGTTGTGAATTAGATTAGATGATGCAGCAGGCCACTTGAGGAGTTCAACATTGCCTTCTGTCAGTTGAGTACATTGTGCTTCTATAGCAAGATTGTCATGTTCTTGGGGTTTGCCAAAGGCTAATGCGAGTTAGCTTTGTTGTTATGTTCATACCGAGTTCTTATGCTGTGTCCCAATCTAGTTGACTGACATTTGGCCATGGTGTTACTCGTTGATCCCCAGCTTTGCTTAAAACATTGCTAGTGTTCTACCAAAGAAGTAATCTTTCCTTTCAGCAACCCAAGTTATTTGGTGTGGTTTAGGTTGAGATTTTGCATCAAGAAGTCATAATAATCAATAACCAGCAGCACTCTTACCTTTTGGAGCAAAAGGGATTCACTTGCTATCTTATGTGTTCCTGCTGTCGTTTGTTACGATTTGAATCCATCTTCCTATTGCTTGCTTATTACATTCGATGTTGCTAGTTGTTTGAAGTAGGATATTTTCGCGTTTGCAGGAATTAACGGAAGTGAAGAAGTCGTTGAATGATGAGGTGGAGCAACTACGATTGGTTAGTATTACTGCTACACAACTTCTCCTCGCATGTTACAACAACTATATTGCTTTCTTTCTGTTCAAGTAATAATTTCAATCCAAATCCCAAAAAAAACAACAACAGGAGTTCAAAGAACTCAGAACTACACTTCAGCAGCAACAAGATGACATCTCTTCTAGCATGAAGAACTTGGGGGTAGGTGTCCATGCAAACTCTCCTTTTCCCTTTCCTTCATTTAGCTGACAAAATCGAAGCTTAAGAACCTGATGCATAAACTGGGTGTGGTGCAGCCTGTGGATGGGGGAGAGGATGAAGTTAAAGAGGCGAAACACTCGGAGGCAGATGTGCAACAAGAAGATGAAGCGAAAGTCTTAACTGTCGAGGAAGAGCCTAGTTCAGCCTAACACAGCCATTTGCAGTCCCTTGGAGAAGAAGCCTTTTCTTTTCCGAGTCCATCCCGGTGCAATCTATTGAAGTACTCCAAAGAAATATGTAACAGTGTAGTTGTAAAATCAGCCCAGGAGGGGGCAGACAACTTGTAATACTTATCTTCTATTGGATTCTTGTCCTGCAACAATGTCGGTTTCCTTGACTTCATCGTTGCGACTATGAACCACTTCAACCTGCTCCATTCCTTCTAGACGAGAACGAATCACTGCAATTGTTGCAGCACAGCTGAAAGCACTATCAGCAGAGGAAACTAAACTATCAGTTTGATATTGTCATATTGAAATTTGATATTGAGTTGACTATAGGGTTAACACTGCCATTTTAACCTAATCCATCCAACTTGGTGAGAGAAAAAAATGGTAACCATTCAATTTGCTCAACCTCCATTCATTTATTACCCCACCATTATTATCTTTTCACCACACAGATATTGTGCTTGGTTGCTTGCTTCTCCAGTTCTCCCCCCACTTCCCCCTTACTGTTTGGCCATTAAATACCTTTCTCTAGTTCCCAAGAAACTGTTTTACGTGTAAGAATGCTCTATACTCTATAGGCACAGACTAGAGCGACAGAGAGAGACAGAGAGAGAAAGCCATGGCTAAGCTTCTTCTTCTTCTTCTTCTTCTTCTTTCTCAATCATGCCTCTCTATCCCATTGCTCCAAAAGGGGGCCTTAACTGTTGTTTACCATTCAAAGGAGACTGCTGATGATGATGATGAATTGACGATCCAGCGGTGAAGTAAATGGTATTCCACCCACCAAATCCACTTCATTCATTCATATTTCATTCATTCATGCTACCTCTGAAATAGAATGATGGCGCTCGAATGACATTTGGATCTATGCCTTATGTGTTAAGGAGTAGTGTATTAAAGGCTATCTCCCAACCCACCTTAGATTTTGGGTGCAACTGCCACTACCCATTATGTTCTCTGTTCTTTCCAAGAAACCATTTTCACCTCTTTCCCTATAATGGGATGGATTATTAATGTGAGATTTTTTTTTTCATCCAAAGGAGGCCGTGATCAAGAAAAAAAGATACAAGGGATTGGAGTAGAGGAGAGGGAAGGATTGACCCGCCCGATAACGATCTAGACACGATTATATTTTGAAGTGTAAATATTAAATCGTGAAAATAAGTATTTAGACTATAGCCACGGATGAGGAGTTGCTGGCTTCCAGCTTAGAAATCATTCGCGCGATATCGAATGAATTCCTAGAGTATTGACAGTAAATTGGACACTAAAGACTTCTAACAGCCTGTTTGGATACAATTCCACAAGAAATGGAAATGGATTTCCATTCCCAATTCTAACTTTTATGGAATTCCATTTCCAATATTTGTGTTTGGCATAATTCTAACAACTATGGAAATGAATTGTATTCTTTAACAATCATTAATGATTTAGTAGATTTTTTTATCTTGGGAAATGAAATATGGATGAGAGAGAAAGAGAGAAATAAGATAGTGAAATTATAAAATAATAATAAATATGAATGGGTCCCACTAATTCCATCTCCATAAACCCAATTCCTATCACTTTTGATAGGAATTCTAATTTCCAATATTTTAGTCAAATGGAATTCATTTCCCAACCTTCTTACTATTCCAAACATGAAATAATGAAATAGAATTGGAAATGGAATTCCAATTCCTGAGTTTTTTGTCCATCCAAACAGGCTGTAAATCTTTCGGGGTTAATAAAAATGATTGTTTGTAACATTTGGACGACTTCTTCATCTTCAACACCTGCATTTGAAGAGATTTCTTGTTTTTGTTTGCTTGTGGTAAGTCGATAGTGATAGGACTCGTAAAAGAGATTTGCGTCTTCGTTATAGGAATCAGGTGACTTATTAAACATTAATTTCATTGTATACTCTGTTCTATGTAATTGTGATTCATTCATGTTTAGATAACTTGTAAATGATGACATTTCGGTCGAGTTGCAAGATTTTCCCTTTCATGCTTAATCTGGCCCGCTCATTGTACCGATTCGGTTCGCAATCGAACCGATATGAACTCGTAGCTACCACTAACCAGGCATCAACCCCATTAAATATTGTATGTCATTGTTAGTATTAATGGTGATGGACAACTGAATGCAGAAAAAAAGATTCACAGGGAATTTAAACCAGAGTGTTTACCCTATCTATATTAACTTCACAACCTCCTTATTTTCTCTCAGAAACACAACTATTTTCTAGAGAGAGAGAAGGGTTCTTCTGTGTTTCTTGTAATGGCAAAGAACACATCCTCTGTACAAGAAGAAGCTCCAACTCATGGCCTCCATTGCAAAGTAACTCACTAACCTTACTCTTTCCTTTCTCCCCTCAATTTCGTCGTTACTGATTGAAAGAAACCCTCAACATTGGTTTTTCTTTTCTTACATTTTCACAGACATGGGTGCTGCGAGTCTCCATCCACTGCCAAGGTTGCAAGAGGAAAGTCAGCAAAATCCTCTTAGCCATCCACGGTAAATTTCCCAATTCCGTTTCCCTCCTTCTTTTTTCAACCACGGTAGTTTTTTCCTTACCTTTTGTGACTGTTTTTATTTTATTTTGTTTTGTTTGAGCAGGTGTTTACACGGTAGCTGTAGATATGAAGAAACAGAGAGTCACCGTGACGGGAAACGTTGAAGCAGAGACATTGATCACGAAACTCTCAAACAAAGGGAAAAGGGCTTCGATTTGTGACAACGAATCCAAGAATTCTAAATCAAACCATGCAGGCAATCAAGAAGAAGAGAACAACAGCCAGAAGAAGAAGAACAAGAAGAAGCAGAAACAGAGTGAAAACAGGGGAGCCCATGAAGAAGAAGCATCAAAGGCAATGATGGCAACCATTCCAGACGAAAACTCGTCACCAAATAAACAAACCGTCGCTAAAGACTCTCCAGGTAACCTCTCTAGCGGAGAAAAGAAGCGGAGAGAGGGTAAAAATAAAACAGAGAAGGAGGGGGATCATGTTAATGTCGATCCTAACTCTGCTAGTAGTAGCTCTGTTCCTCCGTTTTCTTCTGGTTACAATAGGTATCAACAAATGACGACGAATCAGGTTCTTCCGTCGCCATATCCGTATCCACCACCACAGCAGTATTTCTACTTCCCTGCTGCTGTGAATGCCGCTCCGAATCCTTTCTATCTCTACGCTCAGCAGCAAGCGAATCCATTTGGATATCAAAGCCAGCTGCCTCCGCCGCAGCAGTCCATGGGGCAGGGGCTGGACTCTTCTCTGCAGATTTTTAGTGACGAGAATGTCAATGGATGCTCTGTTATGTAATGTAGTTCTGTAATCCGTGGCCGATTAGGATTTTGGGGTGGTGGGGTGGAGGAGATGTAACTCTTCAGGGTTTAGATGTGTTAGCTTTTGAGTTTTTGTGGGTGCGTTCTTGGTAAAGATGGCAAACTTTTGTGCTTCTATGATGGGCAAAATTGCAAACCCAATTTGCCCAATTGCAACTTGTTTGGTGATTTTGAGTTTTCAATGTTGTTTCTTATGGTTCATTGGTTCAAGATTGCCCAATGTAGTTCTGTATCCATCAGATAAACTATATTGTTTTGTATATAAATGATGTACTTATATGCAGTGGCGGAGGCAGGATTTGAAACTACCCCTGTCCTCTTTTCGTATCATAAATATATAAATATTTAATAAATATAATTAAATTAATAATATCGAAATAATTTATTTTCATATATAAAAAATAACTACTATTACAATCGGTATTTTCATAAACAATCATAACGAGTTTTCATATTCGGAAGAAACCCATAATACATTCTTTGTCTACACACTTTAGTAAGTCCTTTTCAATGGATCTCACTAAACAACCATTAGCAAACTGGTCGTGAGTTCGACTTCAAAGTTTGTCCTTCAGATAGCTCAAAGCTGAAAATATTTTATCGACACTTGCCGTCAAAACTAGTGGAATCGGCGGTGCCACTGGACTGCTTCAAGATTGCTTGCAAATAATCGAATAGGCATATAAAGAAAAGAGATCTATTCCAATTGAGACTTCGTTTATTGTATAATAATTAATTCATTGTCAATTTATGATAAATAATGAGTTATGATATAGTAACGAAGTACAATGGTGTTGTGTTCCATCCTTCGTATAAACATATATGAAGTATTTTTGTTCCTCCCAAAATTTACCCCTGTCCCGGGCCAATGCCCAATAGAGCTGCCTCCGCCACTGCTTATATGGTCTCGGACAATAATACGATAAATAATGATAACATCCATCACACTCCACATTCAAACATTTTGTCCTACCATCATCACAAATTCAAAACTATACCTATTATTTGTGTGTTTTAGTTAGTAAAGCTACGAACTTTGAAGATACTATAAAAAAATCTCAATTCTTGTTTTTGTACCTATTACAAATTATTCACCCAACTACGCTCTGTTTTATTCTAATAAGTAATAACCGAAGCTATACATCAACTTATATAATTTCATTAAAATTCACAGATATGTCACCGAAATAATCTAACTAGTAAACATAATCACAAAGCTAATTACGGGTTACTTATATTTTTTTTTGACAATTCCGGGAGCATGAAGCTGAATGAACTCCATCACCGTCTCCACGAGCTCCTCCACCTTAGACGACGTCGTATCGACCACCAGCTTCGGCACCCCGCCCGCGTCGTACTCGTGGCAGCCGCGGTACCCTTCGATCAGCCTGCGGAGATCCCGCCACGTGGACGGCTTGTGCGAGCTGGCGCCCTCCTCACCGCCACGTTGCTCGAGCCGCTCTCTCCACAGGGCTTCATCCGACGGCCTGCACTCCACGATCAGCAGCCGGGCCCCGCCAGCAGCAGATCCCGCCACGTGGATCAAACGGTCGAGGTGGGCCCTGCGGGAGAGCGGCGAGTCGACGACCACGCTGAGCCCGAGCTGGAGCTGAGTCGAGGCGACCCGCCAAACGACGTCGTAGCAGAGGTCGTTGGGGACGGCGGAGTCGCGGACGTCGTCCTTGTCGATGAGTGGGATTCTGAGGGCGGAGGCGAGGGAGCGGGCCAGCGTCGTCTTGCCGGTGCCGGGGTGGCCCTTCATCGCGACGATGATCGGCGGCGGCGACGGCGGCGGGGGAAGGGACGAGTTGACTGAGTGGTGGTCGGAATTGTTTCCCATGAATTTTTTTTTTTGGTAGTGGATGGAGAATTGGAGTTGAGCTAGATAGAGAGAGAGAGAGGATGGAAGAAGATGGAATGATGATTCGCTATTATGGTTAGAATCGAGACCGTGTTTTTGGCGTCCATTTGGATAAGGGACAAAGACGCACAGATTTGTCACTACGTTGGATATATGTATATATATCCAGCTCAGTTCATCTACGTGTTTGATGATGATTTTTCCCTTGTTTCTTCTTTCTTCTCCATGAGATATGAGATGTGTTTGGTGTAGGTCCAGAACATAGTCGAGCACTGGGCCGTATTTCATTAGAAAATTATATATCTTTAAAAGAAATTATACTTTTACGATATTAATTATAGAGGTTGATTTTTTAATATAGCGAATTCATCATTAATGGAGTCTACATCTATACCAATAGAATACTACTCTCTTTCCAAATAAAATAGTTGACCAATCATCGAGAAATTCATTGCTCATTTTGTCGCGCAAATCAATTTTCACCTGTTCCATTGTTGAAAAGGTTCTCTCCGTAGTAGTTGTTGAAACGGACAATGTCAACACCAGACAAATCAATCAACTAATCAATTTGTATTGCGTGTCCATTCCTATTTTCACTGGTTGCTATAGTCATTTTTCAAGTGAACAAACCTCATAATTCTTTTATAATCGACAAACTCATGAGGACTACACTATCTCCGGATCTAGAGGGGTTGGGCCCTGGCCCGGGGTTGCCACCCCCTGGATCTGCCACTACGTGCAACATGCAGGGAAATTTTGATTGAGCTAGCTGATTTCAAAAGGTTTTTCTCGAATTTATGTATCTATTATTTGGTAAGCACGTAGTATTCATATTTGTGCAAATTTCAAACCCATATATAATGACTTTCGTTTAGAAAATTAATAGATAATATAAAATTCACATTTGAATATCTTCTAACAACTCGAATTACCGACACCAATTCTTTAAATGTTTGTGTGTTTACTTCCATGAAGCTTCTTTTTCTTGTTTTAGGCTTTTTTCCCATTTATCCTTGTTTTTTTCCCCCTATATTTGCAGGGTTTATCCCCTACTTCATCCTTTTGTTTTTTAGATGAAACCTTTTTAAGGATAGTAAAAAGGATAAGGATGAGGATAATGTCACTCCCATAACCCATCATGTAATTCCAAACTCCTATATTGTTCTTTAATTGACACCTTCTCTAATCCATCCATAATACCAACAAAGTTAGATAACTGAAGCAAAAGGTAAAAGCATTACTGAACAACTAAGCTTCCATTCAACATATGATAGAGAATTATATCATTAAACTAAACTTAAGAAAGGAGCCAATTTCCATGTGCTAATCAAAGAAATCATGGGAAGTAGGAGTCACTTGTGAACAAGAAAAAAAGAAACTTTAACCAGATTGTCTAGCTAAAAAGAGATATCACCTGCCCCTCTGCAAATTGTGATCAATGTATTAGGCATCCTGTCTTTCTACCAAAAAGTATCTAAGCAGAATGCATTGACAATGGCTTCCTGAAGAAGAGAACACAATGAACATACTTTCTGGCAATGACCTAATTCAAACAAGGGCTGCAGATAGTTTTAGGTTCCCACAATGGCTGGTCATGGATGATAGGGGGAAAGATTCTAAAAAGGTGGCTTTTCCTGGTGTTGCTTAGAGCTAATGGAAAACCAGTCAAATAGAAAGATCAGCCAAACCAAAAGGCCAGAAAAGCAATAGCCTTCTAGGCTTCCAACATTGCACATGGTTGGAATTCTCTAAAGCTTCTTCCCTTCCAAAAAGATCAAAAATGGTTTCCTGTATGTCTTTTATTCCAAAGAAACATTCATAGAGAAAGAAACCATTAAAACCCTGCAAAAATGTTCCCCTACTTATTTACAGAAGACTAATCTTAGGAGGCTTTTCATTGTCAACACCTTGACAAAATGTACAGCACATCATAGAGTGACAACAGAAGCCCCTCATACAAACGTTGATGCCTTCAAGGTTCTCTGGTTTGTTCCAAGAATGACGACAATTACAGTGACATCGTCATGGTATTTCCTCCTCCTGCCAGCCGGGATGTTCATCAATTCCTCCATGCTAAAACCTGAAGAGGGGAAATAGATCGAATTGTTAAACCGAAATGGGAAAAAGAAAAATGGGACTTGTGGAAAGACGTATAGTGGAAATTCTTATTACCTGCACAAGCAGCAGCTCTCTTGACAAGCTGTTCCAAGACAAACTTTGCTGGATCGCCAGAAGGGTTGCTAACCATAAAGGAATGGACAAGCTCCACTGCCTCCTCATTGGTGAAGAAATCGAAAAGGCCATCGCTTGCTACTATAACAAAGTGATCCGATTTCGATATTCTGTGCACATTCAAAGATGGTTCAGTGGAGACATACGGTGGGCTTACTAGGTTTCTGACACGGAGGATACCCATCAGAGCATCATTCAGCTTCTTCTGCAAAATTGAGAGGAAAGCAAAAGTTAACCAATATGTTAATCCTTTAGAGCATTGTTACAAACAAAACCAAAAAACAAATTGGTATTGGAATTGAAAGCACAAACCGATTTCAGGTAACCAACTCCGAAAGCTCTAGTGACCTTCAATTTCCCCTTTACTTTGCCTCCAACTATAGTAGCAGGATCATCAGGATGCTCACTAATAACCCTAGCTCTCTCAAGGTCATTATCCACGGTGTGGCAATCACTTAGCTGGACAGCTTTTAACCGCTTATTATGGTCTTCATCATATGTTGCCAATACAGCTCTGCTATCACCTAAGTTCAAGGTATACAAATCCATCCCATGAAGAAGAACAACCAACACACAAGACCCCACCGAGACAAGATCTGGTCTATCCTCCATTTCATGCTCTACCATGTACAGGAAATCATTCTCAGCCTTGGCAACTGCACGTTGTAGGCTATCAAGTACCTTGTCTCTGAAGGAATCTCCATAATCATGGTTATCCCGAGTCCCAAGAGAAGCATCATTCCCTTCTTCAAGGGCACATCGAAGGAAGGCATCAGGGCATACATTCGAAGCCTTGACAACATCCTGATTTGAATCCCAGTCCAGCAAGTTAGTATGAAATATGATAGTTTCATACAATGTTCCAGCTAGAAAATCAGCAGCATCCCTTCCGTTGAATCCATCATAGATAGCACAGAACAGCCATCCATTTTCTTCAGAGCAAACAGCTTGAACTCTGTCTTCACCAGCAGCTCCACCAGCCACTTGAACTTCCATGGCGTTCAGAAAGCCTTCAGATTTTGAGGGTGCACTCATGGATTCATAGTCAAGTGGGCTTGGAGAAGATGGGCTGCAGCTCAAGTATGACCCGGTGCTTTGGAGAGAAGACGAGAGTATGTCGAGCTTGGAAAATGATGAAGATGAGGGGATCCTCCGGAAGGATTTGGGGGAGTCCCAACTGGGGAGAATTTCTGCACCTATGAGACCGTTGCACATGTTTGTGTTGGCCAATGTGGCATTAGCACTCAAGGCGGCGCCTGATAAACAAGAGAAGCTGCTGTTCCTTTGGAGGATAGGTTCTGGATTATGGGTTTCACAACCACTGCCATTGCATTGGTAGCCAAAACTTACCTTCAGTTCTCCTTCAGTCTGTAAACCACTTGATCCTCGCATTATTCAAGACTGCAGTTGGAGAAGAAATGCAGAAGTAAGTTAAAAAGAAAATTTTATCACGAATTATAATCACATCAAGTAATTTAAGCAGTATATAGGGAATGATGATGTTGTAACACTATGCCTTGGTCCATCGAAGTCTGCAGGAGAAGAATGACCCAAAAGGGGGAAAAAACTCTCAGATATAGTTCTACATACAGATCAGCCAGAGATTGCCATATTAAGCCTAAGAAAGTGATTGGAAACTGGGATCTCTCTCTCTCTCAGAATAGCATTGACCTCATGAACAATATGCAGTGATCAGAAGTTCAATAACGTAAACTAAAACAGATCTCAAATATGCAGACAAGGAAGAAGGAAAAATGCAAATCTTAGATAGATTAATCAACCCACTACTTCCTGATGCAAATTCCAACTATTCATTGATGTAGCCATATATCTGAGTTCTCAGGTTCCAAAGAAAGGATAAGATAAGACAACGATAAGATAAGGCATTATCACTGGCAAATAGAAACCTTCATTGATAATATCACCACCTCAATGGTTTCCAATTACACACGAATCGGAGTTTCTGGCGAAAACCCAGTTCAGGAATCACTCCAATACAACGTATGCAATGTACAGTTGGAATGAAACAGGGCCAATTATTTTCCAGCCTGAGCTCAACTATTTTTTGCCAAGCCGATGAATTCACTTCAATTCAGGACAGAAAACAAGAACAAATTTACATCGCTACACGATTTGGAATTCAAGTTAAATGTAAGCTAGAGATAGAGAGTTGACAAACCAATACTGAGCCGGTCGATGAAACCCAGAACCGAAATAGGCGAATGTGACTTGGGAGACGAAGGAAAAGCTGAAGCAGGGGGAAATGGCGATATGGGTTCGCTACAGAGCGAGGGAAAGTGTGAAGCTTTCGTTCCAGGAAAACCAACAAGAAAGAAGTTAGCCCCAGAACAAAATCAGAAAGCAAAAGCAGAGGAAAACGGACGAAGAACAGATTTCTTTTTCTTTTTCTTCTGTTTCTGTTGAGACTTGAGAGTCCGTTTCGCAGCAAGAAGTGGAGAATCTATATGAGAAATAGAACCCCGGAAAAAAGAAGTGTGTTCTCTTCTTCTTCTTCTTCCTTCTTTTTACGCAGAGACGATTGGATGGTGGAGAAGGGTCTCTGCCAATATTAGCTTGCAACCAAGAAAATTCCGTTTCTTTAATAATTTCTCACTTGAGATTTTCACTCAGCTGCCAACCAGCCAAACACTTTTGACGAATCAAATCTGTAAGGGCAAAAAACGACAGAAGAAATTAATATAAAACGCTCTGTTTGTAACCAATTTTTTTGGCAAATTTATTCTAGGTCTTAAATTTGTTGTCACTAAAATTCTAGTCACTGAATTGTGATATTTAAACAAACCCTTGAGTGACTTGGCTCAATTGAGAGGTTGCTGCCTGCTGGTTGAAATTTTTCTGAGCTCAAGTTTGCCCTAACGTTGTGTTTGAAAGGCCTATGTTAGATATGTTGTTTTCGTCTATATCGTTGGAACGAAATTAAAATTATTTGCTGAAAATTTGTTCCAATGTCGGTTTTCAACTTGCAATATGATTGGTGGTGCAGGAGAAGATTTCAGAGGCAGAGACATCAGTTATAATAGATATAATGCTATTGGCCGAATACTGGTTTCCAACTTGTAATATGATTGGCGGTGTAGGAGAAGATTTCAGAGGCAGAGACATCAGTTATAACAGATATAATGTTATTGGCCGAATACTAGTTTCCAATTTGTAATATGATTGGCAGTGCAGGAGAAGATTTCAAAGGCAGAGACATCAGTTATAACAAATATAATGCTATTGGCCGAATACTGGTTTCCAACTTGTAATATGATTGGCGGCGCATGAGAAGAATTCAAAGGCAGAGATATCGGTTATAACAGATATAATGCTATTGGTCGAGATTATCTCCGACTTTCCATCTTGACTTTTATTTCTCCTTTTGTAGATTTCTTTTTCTTTTTGTCTTAATACACTTTTGACAGATTGATCTGACATATTGTTTGTAAAGAAATTCGGTCAACTATTAATAATCGATATCAAATGGTTTGTCGCTAAGTTAAATAAATGCAGCTAGATTCATTATGTGTGTTGTTTTTTATGATAAACTAGCTAGATTCTTGTGCTGAGAACTAACATATCAGGGTCTTTCAAAAGATGTAACTAAGTATATCCTAACAAGAACCGCATGTTTTAGTTCTTTCTTATTATTTAGTCTACGTTTCTAACATATTTAATAAATTTGAAAAGTGATAGGACGATAAGCTATCAATCTCCTTTCTTCAAAACTCAAATATTTTTATCTTAAAAACACTGAATTCATCCAAATCTGAATGACCAATTTAACAACATTCAAAGTTCAAAGTGATCAATTTACTAGCAATCCCAAAGTTCAAAATGGATCCAAAATTACACACACACGAAGTCAAATTGCCGCGAAATTGTTGTCCTCAAGCGCATCTGTCAATCCAACTTGGGCATTGTATTTGCATGGAGGATGATGACGGGGACGGCCGCCAGGTTGCAATTATCAGTATCTAATGGACCTGAAAAAACCCTAATAATAATAATAAGAAAACCCTAATTTGGCATTTAGTTCTAATTTGTTTTTGTGTGTTGCTTGTTGTGTGGCTCCAAAGACCAAATGTGACCAAAATCGCTTCAAAAACAAAATAAAAAATTTGTGGGGGGCTCAACTCAACTGATGGTCGGCTGGAAAAAGGGTCAACTTGCAACAAAAGATCTAATGCTGTTTGGCCTTTTGAAACACAGTTAGAGCCAACTCTCTATGCAATTCCATATGATTCTTTTTTTTTTTTAATCCTCTCTCTTTCAATACATGTAAATATCTCTTTGTTTATCGCATTACATAATATCGCAACAATCAATAGAAAATCTTTCAAAGATCGAATCAGACATTTTGAAGTTACGATACTGTTACGACGCGCGCGCTAAGGTCATGATAAGTTGATTGAAATGGCTAACATGGCTAAAAGGGGCAGTGAAAGAAGTGGGGCTGAAAAGCTGAAGGCATATTCATATGGTAGGGAAAAAGGGCAGAAGAGAAAGAAGACAAGTCACAAGCTTTTGGATGGACCAAACCCCTCTTCTTTGTTTTGCTTTTGGATGAATGGGCCTTTCAAATATCTTAATTATGCCATATGGATCTTGAAGCAAATGGGATCCACAGGAATGCCAGTGCTGGGACATGAAAGATGAAACCACAGTGGAGAGAAAGAGACAGTAAACCCCCACTTCTTGCTTTGCTTGGCTCTGTGTTCATCTCAAACCCATCAATGAAATTCTGCAGAAAGTCCTTTTGTTACAGTTCAACAATGGCTGGGACAGTACGATGAGCTGAGAGTGGAGGGACAGAGGAAAAGAGAGGAAGAACGTGATTTCTCAGTACACCCACAAACCTTTGTTTGTTGTTGTTGTTTTACCATGTGATTTTAGGGCACTTGCTGCTGCAATTTTTAGGCCACATTTTGTTCTCTACCATCATGACCCCTGGTCGTACAACTATCCATCTCAGTATTTGGCACAGAGCCTATCGACGTCAGAGCTCGTTGATTGTAAGAACATTGATCGCGATGGACATTAAGCCTTACTTCCAAGGTGCCCTATCAGTTGGTGGCGAAGAAGTTGATTGTAAGCCTTACTTTTTGAATTATATTTGTATAACCATCGAGAAGCTGAGTATCTTATTAAAATGTTGTTCGGAATGACAGCAGTTTCTGAATTTAGTCTGCAATTAACATCATTCAAAGGGAAAAACTTCATCAGAACCATGGACAAGAGGAAAATAGTATGCCTAATTCGCATGGATTTATAAGATACCGATGCGAGCTATATTTACTCAATGGTGATCATCACATCATAAACTATGAATGTATATAACCACTATAACCATTAAACAGCCACAGGATGGTTTCATGGTATGTTATCTAACACTCGGTTACATTACTCGCCCTGAAGTGGAGCCTAATCCTCGATCAACAAGGATCAATCAAAGCTGCCATATCTATATCTATAGTCTTAGCTAAGTATGGCCATCTCAATGTCAAAGATGATGAGGAAGCCTTTTGGAACAGAATGAATCAAGCTTCAACGGTGTAGGACACTTTGGTGACACCTTTCTTGGTACGAATCTGAGAAACCTGGTCAAAATATGCCACAATCAAATCATCATATCATAAAAAATGCTCCCGTGTTTTTCTGAACACCAGTCTTCACAACATATTCCAAGACATGAAAAGATGACCATTAGTATTATTCTCCAAGCAGGTGTTTGAGATTTCCCATGTGTATGTGTTTACAAAGATCAGACCGGCATCTTCAACTTGAGAAAACACAGAATCGTCTATGGCGTTCTTAGGGGAGAGTTCTTTTTGTACCTTCAAACTTCTGATGTCTGAGATATCAGGAACATGGGTACCACCACAAGGGCATCCAGGGTTGTCCCCTAACTTCACAATGCGAGGATTGCTGCCCTGCAAACAGATCAAACATAACTACTGAGCCGAAATGAACCAAATGTGAACAACCAGCTATTGCCCTGCCAACACAACCCATCGAAAGTGAGATTGCCCTGTGTTGATCTGATCACTACCTAATAATACCCAATCTGTATTGACTCGTGACCCATCACGACTCTACTTTAAGTGCCTAACCATCACAATCCTACTTGTACTGTTGAATTCTGGTTTTTAATTGGCTGATTCATTTACAACCAGCAACGCATTCTGACCAGCCAACTTTAATAACCAGATCTGCTATGGCCTGACCTGATCAAGAACAAAGACCAATAATATCATGGTTCAACAATAAGGGGTTCCAAGATTCCTCAAAGTCACAAACCTTTGGAATGTAATCAGGAAGGGAACCTCCACACCATTCACAGGCTTCATCATATGACATCTCAGCAGCAATTATCTGCACAAAATCAAAGAAAACAAGCTTCACACAAACATAATGCAGACTCTCATTCCAAGTCCCCAACGCAAAAGAGAAAGAGAGCTCACTTTGCCTCCTTTAGATATCAATCCATTAGCTTCAATCTCTATCTCCTTCTGCTTTGTCTGCAGTTCATTCTGTAGAACTGTGCCTTTATATTCAACCCATGGCCTGCCCAAGAAAATGGGGAGCAGGTGTTTCCACAGCAGTTCTGAGAAGAAAATGCTCGAACTTTAGAGCTTGAGTAAAGTAGTTTAGTAAGTTTACCCATCAGGGAAATGGTAAGCTTTTCCTGGCTTGAGATGCCCCAACCCCACATTTGGCAGACAAGCATCCAACAAATGTCCAGCTGAATGCAGCCTGTTCAATCACAGATCCAACTCCCAACTACTGTTACACCAAATCTCAATTCTCAACTTTTGATTGTTGTAAAAGAAGACAGAAATTTGGTTTTGGGATGATTTCCAAATCTCTCTGTTGGTTGAATTTGAAATACAGTTCAATTGGGTGTTAGAATTGCACCATGTATTTCGGGGCCAAATCCATTACACAGGCAAATCTTTCTTTCCAATGATCATAGAAATTATCATTAAAAACTTTATGTAATCTACCGATTCTGTATCTAATAATTCTAATTCAAACTATCCTAACAGTTCATCTATATAAGAAGGGAGCGGGGATGTATCAAAACAAACCTTGAGTTGAGCTTCCGCCTACTTTCATCAACACGTAAGAAGACCTCAGTGCCTCCCTTGATTTCCTTCTTCGGATCTTCCCCAGAACAGCCCTCTGTAACTCCGTAGTGATAAACCTAATTAGGAATTCAGCAAAGTTCGTTCCTTTAACCAACCATGAGTACGAAATTGAGAAACCCAGATGGGAATGAAAAAGAAAAGCAAAAGGGTTTAAAATAAGAACTAACGATTCCATCCTTGGAGCGAACATCTTGCACAGTGAACTTGAAGGTCGTCGTCGCGGAGTCAACGCCCGCGGCGGTGATGAAACCTGTGTCCGCCGGCTGGCCGCCACCTTGCGGATAGAAGACTGTGGCGTCCAATATCAGCGTCTCTTTTCCATCGTCGCCCTTTAATGTATAGAATAGAATTGGGAAGAAATGGAAAATCGTTTCAGAGGTCTGCGTAACGAAAGGCAGAGGTTCAAGACAAATGTAAGACTACTAGGTGGGGGATGGAACCATACCTTGATGAAGGAGAGGACTCTGGCTTTGGATTCGAGCTTCTGCATGTCATCGTAGTAATCCAACTTTGTTGGAACCTGGGAGGAAGCCATTGATGAGTGCTTGCTTTACAACAGTTGCAGTGTGGAAGTTTGGGCACGGCCACGAAATGGTGGTTGAGGAAAAATCAGATGGCGGGCTATTGTTTCACTTTATGGCCTTTGGGCCAGGAAGTGCCTTTTGTTGACTAGGTTACCATTGATATGGCTTGGGAATAATCTAGATGAACCTAGAATTAACTTTAGACTAATCCTAACCTTAACATTAACGCATTCTTCTTGGTTAAATAGGCTTAACGAGGCACTGATGGTCAGTAATGGTACATTTTGCAAGAAAACAATGTGACAGATCGAGGGACAATAGTGATAATGCAGCATCCTCGACAAAGGATTGATACCAGCAGCAAATCGTCTCATAAAATGCAGAGATCTCAGCTTTACTGATTTGTATCTGATTACGACCAGAATTCGATTGATCGAAACTCGAAACAGAAGGCGCTAAAGTACTTTATGACCTACACAGCAGAAACTGGCAAGAAGAGTTTTTACATTATTTACTTAGACCACCACTAGCTACAACCAGCTAACTGCAATAGCAATTCATGGCTCGGAGCAATATACTAAGTTCTAGACATTCTCTCTAAATTACTGTTCGTAGACCCATCCTCCTCAATAGACTCTTCAGCAAGCCAGAGCTAGGCGTCTGAAATTCACTACTGCTTGAGCTCAGCTTTCTTCTTCTGCCAGAGCCGATCCAGTGCACTGTCGCCATCACCCTGTGAAAAAAAGAAAAAACACCCCTCTATGCTATAGTCAGATTGTTCCAACTAGATAGAAGCTCCCGCTAAGTAACAACCACGGCAGCAACAAGTACTTAATGCAATGCAAATGAATACTCAACAACGGATGCAGATTGCAGACAGTTAGAGCTTCAAGAATCCAACGACGACAACAAAAAGTCACTTCCACGGGATTCTCTAAAGAAGTTCATTTCACATGAAGACAGCAGCCAATACTATTGAGGAATGGTGCAAGTAAGAAAAAACAATAATGCATGGTATGAGAGATTTAACACCCATGACCCGTATTATCTATCCCTCGGACGATAATAAGTAAACAAAGTTGAAACACAGACATTGCATATATAAGTATCATACATGACTATTCGAATCCAGTGTTGCGATATCGTAACGTACTGTGACCAAACCGATACGGTTTTCCTCGCAGAACCAATCTCCAGTACAGTTTCACAGTGGATACTATCTTCACAATTTTTCCCCCACTTCAATTCATTTCCCAGAATCCACAGCAAGCATTCCACTCCTTATTCACTACTACATCCAGTTACTTATAAACTCTTCAGGCTTGATTCTCAAGTTTCAGCCATAACAGTGGCACTACCAATGAGCATTGAAGAAAAAGGAAGGGGCCAGTAGGGAGAAGTTCACCTGAGCACGAACGAAGCCACAGAGAGCGAAGGTGGTGAAATGGCCAGTGTAAAGCCCATGCTCGTCCAAATGGCCGATGTTGAGCTGAACAGATGCATGGTCTTTGGAAGTAATCAACCTATTGGTGGCCGAGCTGCCAATTCAACCAGCACATCCATCAAAACCGAAACAAACCCTAGACCCTAAACATTGAATGAACCAGAATTACAGAAAATTTACAAGGGGGTTTTGAAATTCGGATGATTACCATTTCCGGGGAATGTAGAGATCCACGCTCTGTCCCTCTTCGTTCTGCATTTTTACGAGTATGGAGGGGAATCACCTGGATAAAAAAAGGAAAACAGTAGAGAAATTGCTTCATCAGAATTACGGCTTCGACAAATCGAAACGACGTGGAGAAAACAAATATCGAAGGCGAAACAGACGGGCTAAGATTTCTCGGCAGCCAGGCAGTGATCGGAATTCCGGTTGAAACAGTATGATCGTACCTGGAAAGAAAGGCCCGGGGAGATGATCGGATTTCTGGTTTTTCTGTCCGGCGAAGGAATGAGAAGTCGGGAAAAGGGATATGGCGGGTGAAAACCCTAAAGGGATGTCTGATGGGCCGGGCTCAACATGGAAGGACCACTTTTGTGGGCTTCTGCACTGCCGTTGGGAGGACTCACGAAAATGGACGAAATGAGAGGTAGGAATGGCAATGGGCAGGTCCAGGGCGGGTTTCTTGGTATCCAGACCCGCCCCGTGGCAGGTCGGGTACATGTCGGGTAATTTATCACGGGTCACGGGTCGGGGCAGGTCGACCCAATGAGTAAGCAATTTATATGTAAAATATTAGAAATGTTCGTTATTTTTATTATAAGACCATGGAAACAAACAATATTATGATAAATATAGTTAAATTATTGGAGAAATTGAGGTTTTCACTAATTTACAACTTTATTATAGCTAAAATTTGATTTAGTAAAAGGAAAATCCTAAGTAATTTGACTAAAATTACGTGTAATTTAGGCAAGAACGGGTCGAGAATGGGGCGGGTCAGGGCAGGTCGGGTCTATGAGAGTACCCATGCCCGCCCCGCCCCGCCTACGGGGCGGGTCGGACTCACCCCAAAACAGGTCGGGTAAAACGGGTCATGTCGAAATTGTCATCCCTAAGAAGAGGCACTACCAGTCTACCATGGTCCATGGTAGTTCTTTCAAAAGTCCAGTGACTAACTTGTCACATATTAAACTCTGAGAACCAATTTGTCAATGGCCCAAAATATGGCTGGTGTTTACGCAAATTGACCCGCCTCTTCTTTCCGTTCAATTAAAACGCCAGCCTGGCCTCTTCACATGCAACTCCGCCGGCAAACCGTTCGGCCATTTTGTCTATCTTAAATTCTTAATAAACCAAACTGCCTTTTGTCAGCAATCATTAACGCCCCCCATATTATATCACTCTCACAAATCACCCTCACCCTCAAAACATCAAGAAATTACAGAACACATGATAGGTCGTTGACAATCTCTTCTACATTCATTTCTTATGTTAGCAGCTTTGCTCAGTTTTCATTTTAAGAGCAACAACTACTGGAGTGAAAAGAGGTAACGTAGCAAGTCGTGATACGATGTGTTCGACTAATAAGTGTACACGTCTAGGTCGTAAGCATAAACCAACTCAATTTTAGAGACAAATAGAGCTTTTGATATAATTAACTTACGAAAGTTCATTGATAAAAGGCTTTTAGCCTAAGCAATGAGGAAACTTGTATAGTCATCGCCTTATCTGGCTCAAACAAGCTAAACATACCCGCCAGTAGTCGATCAATCCGGTAAACACTAGAGAACCTCAATCAACACAAAGATGTGAAAAAGACATAAAATATTTTGTTACATGCTCACGAGACAAAACCCCGATTGACGACCCGAAACTTTGACACCGTCTATGCCTCCTCGCAATTGTCGAATATGCACACAAACTTTTGCATCGTTCGTCCTGTCTTTCTTCTCCCTCTTCAACTCAAGGATTATGTTCACGCAGTCTACAAAATTGGAAAGGTAGAAGGTAAATGGTTTGATCAACACTGTGATAGTTATCAGAAACCGATCAATGTCAAGTGATCATGCGAGATTATAACATGACTAAGATACGGATCAAGAAAATAATAGAATTTAGATGTAAAATGAGGGTCCTAATTGCTAGTAGGGCTTTTCATCTCCCCCTCAAATATTGTTGCAGACTTGTAGCATACATAGTATATGGTGCCAAATGCCAATTTTGCCGTCAAATGTAACTTTTAAAACGAGGTTTGGAGGGATCAAAGTCTATTAATTTAAGCAACTAAGTGCACCAATATATTCATATTGTTATTGTCGAAATTCCACTATTGAGATAAGAAATTGCTCTTTATTCATTAGTGGCAATCATTTTCTCATGTTTGTATTTTTGTCGATACTCGATGATTGATAGCTCTTATGATTGGCAAAAAGGGCCAAATGGTTTTGATTTGTACAAGAACGAACTCGCCGATTGGGAAGAATGATGATAATAATAATAATTTAACTTTTTTATGGGAGGAAGAATGATGATAATCATAAGCAATAATTATAATTATAGTAAACCACATTAATTAAACAAAACAAACGCGTCCTAAGCAAAATTCCTATCTTGTTGATTATGATGTCTCCCAACGAAGCAAAAATGAATGCGCTCACAAACATACATTTCCCCCTTTTCCCACATTCCTTTCACACACCATGTTTGTTTGGTGGATTGGACGTATCATTGTAGGCATAGGGACTAAGCATTTTGGATCTATTGTCTATTTTTATCTTTAGTAGGAGAACGATTGTTAAAGAAAACTGAACTCAATTTATTCGAACTAGGAGAGTAATTATAAGTCGTTAAGTAGAGGTTATGAAAAATGTGTTCGATTGGGTTCGTTTGGACATGTGAGACATTGTCAAATTCATCATTTGACTATAAGAAAGAAAGTGATATCAAATTTTTTGACCTCGCAAATTTGCAAAACTCAACTTAACGGATAGAATCTGCCAAATCCAACATTCAAAATGACCTTATCATTTTCTTTATTACAAGTCATTATGCACAACTTACAAAATACCATATCATAATCACACGAACAATGGCTTGGTGTTAATACCACTAGTTTTAAATCTGGATATTCCAGGTTCAAATTCATTATGTAGTATCTAATCACAAAAAAAATAAACCTATATCACTCTTATCTATAAAAAAAATAACATACCACAATCTGTCATAAAAAAAAATCAAATATACGAATAGAATTTATAGAATGAATGTAGCTTCTTCTTGTATATATAATAGTTAATCGTGTCACTTCAACTCTTCCATTCATAAGTTACCTCTTAAATCTTCAATCTACCTAGTAATTATGATTTAATTTCTACTTAATTATAAGGACTTAAAAAAAGTTAAAAAAGAAAGTCTTCACAATTATTACTCAAGACAGTGGCATTCTTGTTATTACTCTTCAAAACGATGGCAATTTTGCTCTCACCTCCACTTAAAACCTCAGCGCGTAGCTCACATTTCATTATTTCACTCTCTCTTCACTCCTCGACCACCGCACCCCACAAATTGAATCCAAACAAGAAAAAAAACCAGAGAGGCGAAGAAAGAGAGAAGAAGAAAGAAGATCGACGATTAAGAAGCCCCCCGAAGAAATGGGAAGCAGCAGCAGCTTGCGGCGGAGCGGATTCCTCCTGATCTGCGCAATCCTGGCGGCACACCTCGCCGCATCCACATCGACGGCGATCGACTTCCACCCGACCGTGAACTCCCCCGGCGCCGGATGCAACGGATCCATCGCCGAGTGTATGGCGGCGGCCGCGGCCAGCGAGGGAGGCGACAACGAGGAGTTCTCCATGGAGTCGGAGTCCGCCCGCCGGATTCTGGCGGCCGGCAGGTACATCAGCTACGGCGCCCTGAAGCGGAACAGCGTCCCTTGCTCGAGGCGCGGCGCGTCGTACTACAATTGCCACGCCGGAGCTCAGGCCAATCCTTACCACCGCGGCTGCAGCCACATTACTCGCTGCCGCTACTGAATTTTCCCCTCTCTTTTTTGTTTCTTCTTCTTTTCCACATAGATATATCTATCTATCTCTATATATACTTACTAATAAGTAATAACTATGATTGATTCGATTTTGTGTCTGATGTAATACACGGCGAGATTTGTTCCGAGATTGGGAGTCAAACTGAGTTCAGTTTGGTGTTTTGTGATATCGTAGTTGTATCGGTTAAACGACGTATTAGGAGGTGATCAAGCCGTCTTACGCAATGAATTCGAAACGATTTCGTTACGGTATTATTAGTTTCGTCGAATTGTATCTATGGTTCTATCACATTGCGTACACCTATATTGTTCGATTACTCTCCAATCAACAAGAAGTCTGTAGTGAGACATAAACCGCTCGCTCGTTTTCTTCGATTAACTGATGCTAACGATATCAGCTCGTGCTGTTACCACGCTGCACTTGGTCCGGCTTAATTCGCGGTAGAGATGCTTTACATCCGTTAATTCTGGGAATCCCGTAGAAGAAAGAAAAAGGTTTCATAGGGTGTTATTTATGGTCCAGGAAGTGATTTTGAGAATCAAAGCATCTTTTTCTTTAACTTGCAATTGAAAGCTTGAAGGACACAGAAAAGTAATGATTCTCTCTCATGAGAGTCTCTCTCTAAACATTTAGAGTCGGTTTCTCTGCTTGATTGCTGTCTGTTCATCTCCCGTGTGGAGTTTGCTCCAACTTTCCTTCTTTCTGTTCTGACTCTGATCAAATCCTCATTTTCACCTTCTTTCTTTCTATTCATTCTCTCCTTTCCTAGTGACCGTGTCGGCTTTCTTTGTGTTTTTCCTGTCTTGTGGGGCTCGCCTACCACCATGGCAAAAGAGTTGGAGCAGCATATGAGAAATATTAGTCTGTCAGAAGAGGAAGTCAGCGCTATTAAAGTGGAGAAGAATGACATTGACAACACAACAGACTGTGTAGTTGAAGAACTAGGCGCTGTCGGACGACTATTGGGGTCAAGGAAACCGGGTACAAAGTTCCTAAAAACAGCCCTGATGGCTGCCTGGAAGCCAAAGGAAGATTTTGATGTTCAAGTTTTAGAGGAAAACTTGTTGGTTTTCCAATTCATACAAGCTGAGGATAGAGCAAAAGCGATCTCGGGAGGACCATGGCACTTCGAAAATCAATTAATCATTATCAGGCCGGTGGACAGAGGGAAAGAACTCACAGATACAGATTTCGGCAGCACAGAGATGTGGGTTAGAGTCAAGAAAATCCCAGCAAAGATGCGAACAGAGAGCATGGCTACAAAAATTGGATCCATGTTTGGATCTCTTAAGGTCTACGATACAGCAAATTCAGGGATATGGAGTAATTATATGAGGTTAAGAGTAACCTTCACAATCACAAAGCCTTTAAGAAGAGGGGTGCTACTGGAAGTAGATGATCGGAAAGTATGGTACACTGTAGAGTATGAGAAACTCCCAAACTTCTGTTACAACTGTGGAATGCTGGGGCACTTGAAGAAAGACTGTCAGGAAGAAATGGTGCCAGAAGAGGAAGCTCAGTATGGAAGCTGGTTACGCGCAACTTCCCCGATTAAGAAGTATGATAAAAAAAGCAGATTGGAAGCAACGAAGTCGGAGAAAATCTGGTCGGCGGCGAAACAGAAAATCTCAGGCGAAGAGTCCGGTGATACTAGAGTCTCAAACGTGATTGGTTGGGCGACGCCTCGAGTACCGAAACCGGCAAAGAAAAAGCTTTTTGATATTATTAAAGAAGATGCCAGCTCACCAATAGCTGAAAATCTCGAGAAGGAGCCAGGAGAGCAAGGCATACGAAAAGACACTCTGGATACAAAGCAGAATGATAAAACAGAAAGGGGCCTCAAATTGCAGGCCGGAAATAAAGAAGCTGGGCCTGGAAAAAACAGTGAATTACTTTCAGACCCTCTGACCAAAGTCTTTGTGGGCCTGGACATACAAAATTCTAAATCGGATGCAGGGAAAACAGATGGGAGTAAAGGGCCAAAAAACAGCGAGACTGAAGCTACGCTATCAGGGGGGAAAAAGTGGAAAAGGATCAAGCAAGGAGAAAGGAAAACTGAAGGATCGAAGAACGCAACTGAAGTGGGGGGAAAGAGAACAAATGAAGAGGACGATATGGAAGTTGATGAAGAAGGAATCACCGGGTACCAGCATGAAGGAAAAAGGTTTAAAGACGATAAGCAGAACAACAAACTTAGCTTCCCAGAGGCGGACCCTGTCGAGGAACAGGGCCGCCTACAACAATGAGTCTGTTATGTCTCAACTGCCAAGGGTTGGGGGACCCCAAGGCAGTTGCAGTATTGGGATCGGTTATTAGATTCCAAAAACCCCAGGTTGTTTTCCTTTCAGAAACAAAGTTGAAAAAGGCAGGATGGGAGAAAACGATGAGGGAGCTGGGATTCACAAAAGGGGAAGGAGTTCCGGTAGAAGGAAAGTCCGGAGGATTATGCTTGTTTTGGAAGGAGGAAATCAGACTGGAAGTGAAGAAATCAGAAAGAAATTACATAGATGCAGTAATCAGGGATGAGGATGGGAGAGATCAATGGCGTTTCACAGGAATTTATGGGTGGCCGGAAAAGGAGAATCACTATCGTACGTGGAATTTGATCAGGGAACTACATGGAAGTAGTGACCTTCCCTGGCTCTGTGCTGGGGATTTTAATCAAATCTGTTCGAATGCAGAAAAAGAAGGTGGGAACCTCGTCAGTGAAGCTCGTCTAATGGGCTTTAACAATTCGTTGATGGACTGTGGGCTGAAGGATCTTGGGTTCGTGGGCTACCCGTTCACTTGGGAAAACAGGAAAAGTGGGCAGGCCTTTATAGAAGAACGATTGGATCGGGCAGTGGCAAATGAGAGATGGATGGAGCTTTTCAGAAACGCTATTGTTTTCCACCTTGAGGAAGTGGTTTCAGATCATATACCGATTCTGATTGACCCCTACGGAGAAAAAGAAGAAGAGATAAAATGGGGAAGATGTTTTCGCTTTGAATCTTTCTGGGCAAAAGATGAGGAAAGCTTGGAGGTTACTAGAGAAGTTTGGGAAGAAGCAGGTGCTGGGACTCTCGAACAGGGCTTGAAGAGCTGCGAAAATAGACTCAAAATCTGGAGTGAGGCAAAGTTTGGTGAGATTCCTAAGAGAATTGCGCAGATCAGAAGAAACATAAAGGAGATGAAGATACAAAAGAAGGACGGAAACTGGAGAGAGAGGAAGAGGAAATTGGAACTGGAGTTGCAGGATTTGCTGTATAAGAATGAGCAGAGATGGAAGCAAAGATCGAGAATGGAATGGCTCAAGGAAGGGGAAAAAAACACAAAAGCTTTCCATGCCAAAGCCTCGGAGCGAAGGAAGAGGAATTCCATAAAGAAGTTGATAGATGAACAGGGTAGAATACATAAAGGCCAAGAGGAAGTCACAGAGTGTTTATTTCACTACTATACTAGGCTGTTTGAAAGCAAGGCGGATCAAAGTTGCTGGAAGGTTATTGATGCTCTAGAAAAGAAAGTCACGGAAGAAATGAACGAGAGGCTACTGCGACCTTTCACTGCAGAAGAAATTCAAAAGTCGTTGTTTCAAATGGGAGCTACCAAAGCTCCTGGCGATGATGGATTTCCGGCCCTCTTTTTCCAGAAGAACTGGAATACCTTAGCGCCAAAGATCACCAGGGAATTAACCACGTTTCTCGAAGAAGGAAGCTTTCCTGAGGAGCTCAACAGAACTCTCATTGCCTTGATCCCAAAGGTAAAAAAGCCTACTTCCCCAAAAGAATACAGACCCATCAGCCTCTGTTCTGTGTTATATAAGATTCTATCAAAGACTATTGCTAACAGACTAAAAGAAGTTTTGGATGATATCATATGTGAAGCACAGAGTGCTTTTGTCCCGGGAAGATCAATTACGGACAATGTGATTGCTGCGTTCGAATGCTTCACTACCATGAAGAACAAAAGTAAAGGTGAAAGAGGTTTCATTGCACTCAAACTCGATATGGCTAAGGCCTATGACCGAGTTGAGTGGGTCTTTCTTGAAAGAGTCATGGCTAAACTTGGGTTTGATGATAGATGGATTAAGCTCATTATGAACTGTGTCTCATCTGTGTCTTATGCAGTTTTGGTTAATGGACACAAGTCCAGATTTTTCAATCCGGGAAGGGGTCTGAGACAAGGAGACCCGCTCTCCCCGTATTTGTTCCTTCTTTGCGCGGAAGGGCTCTCAGCTCTGATCAACAGAAATGGGAAAGAGAAGAAGATTCATGGGCTAAAAATCTGTAACAGGGCACCAGTGGTTTCACACCTCCTGTTCGCCGACGATTGCATCATCTTCGCTAGAGCAAGTGTGGAAGAAGCAAAGAAGCTGAAAGAGATACTAATGGACTACGAGAAAGAGTCAGGGCAAATGGTGAATTTGGACAAATCAGAAGTCTTCTTCAGTAAGAACATCGTGGACAGCAGAAGACAAGAAATTTGCAGAGAACTGAATATAAAAGAAGTGGATAAGCTGGCGAAATATTTGGGGCTCCCCACCATGATTGGCAGATCTAAGAAACTGGTTTTCAGCACTCTAAGGGACAAAGTAAGAAGCAAACTGATGAACTGGAAAAACAGATTCTTTTCAGAAGCCGGGAAAGAGATTTTGATTAAAAGCATTGCTCAGGCACAAGCAACCTATGCCATGTCAGTATTTAAGATTCCTGATGGAATTATTGAGGATATACACAGCCTCATTGCCAACTTCTGGTGGGGACAAAAAGGAAACGAAAAAAGAATTCATTGGAAAAGATGGGAGAAGCTTTGTAGGAGGAAAGAGCAGGGAGGAATGGGGTTCAAAAATCTCAAAGTGTTTAACACAGCTATTCTTGCTAAGCAGCTCTGGAATCTGAATCTCAAGCCTCAATCCCTTGTTGCAAGGTTACTAAAGGCAAAATACCACCCAAAATGCAACATTCTGGAAGCAAAACTTGGTTGGAGACCTAGCTACATCTGGAGGAGCCTTATGGGGGCCCAGGAGCTTCTAAAAACAGGCTGTAGATGGAAGATAGGCTCAGGAGACGATGTCTACATTTGGAGGGATCGTTGGGTTCCAGGTCTGGAGAACTTTCAGGTATATTCCTACAGCCCTTTTCTGGATTGGGACTCTAGAGTTTCGTGTCTCATTGATCAAGAAACTAGAACATGGAGAAGGGATTTGATTGAATTAGTTTTCACAAATGAGGAGCAGCAGGCCATTATGGATATCCCATTATCTCCTGATATTGATAAGGATGTTTTATGCTGGGTTGGTAATGAAAATGGAAAGTATACAGTCAGATCTGGATATGATGTAGAGATGAGTAGGATTGAAGGGATAGGGCCTGAAAGTGAACTTGAACAGGAGAGAAATGCAGGTTGGAAGAAAATTTGGAAGCTGAACATTCCGGGGAAGATGAAGACCTTTCTCTGGAAGGCTGCCCATAACATAGTTCCTGTGGGAGAAAGAATCAGTAAGAGAAGCAAAAAAAGAGGAGATGAATGTCCTAACTGTGGCATGAGGGAATCACTAAAACACTGTCTTGTGGAATGTAGCTGGGTTGGGAGAATCTGGTCAAAAACTCCGATTGCGGAGCTGTTCTATTGCGCCTCAAATCTCTCGTGCAAAGATTGGATCTTTAAGGTGGTTAAGGAGGCAAAAGATGGGGATATTGAGAGATTCTGCTCACTTCTTTGGTTCTTTTGGAAGGAAAGAAACAACAGTTTATTCAATAATAAGATAATGCAAGAATGGGAGGTCTTCACAAGAGCTGATGACTATATACAGGATTATGTGGCTGTCCAGGGGAAGGAGAAAACCAACAACAGAAGTGCTAACAGGAAGAACTGTAAATGGGAAAAACCTCCTGAGGGGGTTTATAAACTTAACTCTGATGCAGGATGTAGTGGTAAAGGGGAGATAGGAATGGGATTTATAATCCGAGACTGGCAGGGGAATGTGAAGGTGGCAGCTAGTAGAACAATCAGAGCAAACTGGCCCCCTGACATTGCAGAAGGGATGGCTCTTCAGTTTGGGTTGCAAAAAGCAAAAGAGTTGGGGCTGAGAACCATACAAGTGGAATCTGATTGCAAGAAGTTGATAAACATCCTTAAAGGCAATGAGGAAAGCAGAACAGAAATCGGGAATGTGTGTAGAGGCATCGCCTTTTTAGGCATGGAGATTGATGTGCTGGATTGGAAATTTGTCTTCAGAGAAGCCAATACGGCTGCTCACATTCTTGCTCATTTTTTCCCGTTTCATTGTGCTGGAGAACGAATATGGCAAGGCTGTTACCCAGGCCATATAGCTGATGTAATTGCCCAAGAGGCTGCAGTCTGATTTTAATGGAATGGTTTTAAGTTTCAAAAAAAAAAAAAAAGCTTGAAGGACACGCGTAAAACTAAACCTACATCAAACACAACTGGACCGCTCTAATGGAAGGCCGGCGGGGGGCCATAATAATAAATCTGGGAAAATCAATGCTGTTATCACCAATCAGCAGCTGGCAAGTGCCCTTTTAGGTGTTCATGTGTGGCCCAAGCCAGCCACCATTTTGGTGATTTCCGGCAACATTTAACCGAATCAAAGAAGCTTCTCAATCACTTCACTTCTTCCACACCTTTTCCCTGCTTAGTTGGATGTTGGCTGGAGATGCAAATTGCTAAGTATAGAGACGGTGACCCGGGTTCGGTCACTCGGGTTCAACGAATCGACATTCGAACCCCGGACCACTCGGTTCATACCGCAATCAATCTGATCGAAGAGTTCTGGACAGAAGAGGGATGTCAACATCTAACCACACGCTGAATTAATGAGTTACAGGCAACATATATGGCAAAACAACGAACATAGACACCTTAGAGATGGTGTCAACATCACTCTCTATTCAATGGGTTTGCTGATCAGAAGAGGAAAAGCAGAATGGTGGTAGAAATGGAAGATGGGGTGGGGAGGGTTCACATCAAAGATGTCCCGGGAAAACTTGCAGGCCAATAAAAGCAAACAGACAGAAGGACGATCATTGTTGAACAACAGTTTTGGTTCCGCTGTCACGACGACCTTCTTACTTGGTATTTTTGTCTCAGGCTGTGTCGTCGCCTGGCTTGGATTCGCCCTTCGCCTTGGGTGTCGAAGGAGATGGCGAACCTTCCACGCCCATCTCGGCTCTCAGATCGTTGATGCTCCTCTCTAGCTCGTCTATCCTGCCTCCCATGTCATCGAGTGCATTGCGGTCAAGGATAACCAAAGAATAAATATCCACAGATTTGATGATAACTGGACTTTCCCATGTTGTATATCTTCATAACTTGAAAGAAATGAGCATGGGTTTTGCTATGTAGGAAAGACTACCAGGGGTGTGAAAAAGCGGAAAAGACTAGTCAAGAAACATCATTCGATTTTTCATGCAGTTTAAAGTATATATTTTCGATCATAGTTCATCCAGAATTGAGAAAATAAGAATGAGAAATGGAAATTAGGTAAGGATATTCTTTGTAATGATGGAGTCAGACATTGTCTGGAATCTGGATTGCTGCAAAAATAAAACAGCACCAGTGAGTAAATGCTTCGATTTTGTCAATTAGTTCTGAAATCTCAAAAGCCTTGGCATTGCAAAACCAACCATCTGCTGAAGCAAATTTTGCACCTGCAGTAAAACAGAGAACACGACTCAGTAAGTGACGACAGCGTTGGAGAGTTAGAACATTCTCATACATGTGTTTGTGAGAACTCACAAAAGCAGTCATATCGGCAGTGCTCTGTTTAGGATCATCACCATCATGTCCGTCCTGCCATGAAACATGTATAGTTCATACTTAGATACAAAGAACAAGCTATCGTAGGAGCTGGTCACAATGTGCAAAACAATTTTAAAAAAGTGAAGTGGCTGTCAGATTACGAACTTAGAAGTTATTCTAAATGGTAAGAAAAAAAGTACCCACAGATTACGAACTGTAATCAGAGTCTCATGTTCCACCCATTCACAGACATCACATACTAATACCAAGAAAGGAACGGCTGAGTTATTAAGATAGGAGATGACTGCTCTCTCTTGCTATGGCTCTCGGCATATGGATACACAAGTCTGCTAAAATCCTACATTGTAAGAACTATGGACCTATAGCAATCCAATGCATCTTAGGTAAGAACAGCTAGCCAGACTTATAGTTGCACATAACAATGCACCTAGAATCGCCACGCTTGGAGCATTTCCTCCCAGTTATCAGAACTATGCATTTACCCTATGCATTTCAGTTTTCATATCCTAAACTTACGTCAACGCTATCAAACACACTCAATTTTGCTCTCGAACTTCATCAAATTAGGATACAACTGCAGAGATCATCCTCCCGGCTGCCGAGAAAGCGGGCACATAGGGACCCTATGCAAAGAGAAAGCAAAGAAGAACGAAAAACAATTTTGCCATAACGTCCTAACCACAATCCCACATAAACCTCCACAAACAGATCTTACAGAAGCTCAGCTGAACAGATTCACACTTTTCTTTCCACCATGAACAAACACGGATCGGACATTTCCATCGCTCGTCAACACTTAATCCACCCGATTCAAAATCTAAGCTCATCAACACTTCAATTCCAAGATTCTATCGCGACATTCTGTTTCTACCCCGTCTCCCGACCATAAACCCGAAACCCTAGCTCGCTTTCATCGCATTCCCAACGAAATGGAAAATTAAAAACAAAAGATCGGAAATGAAAAGGCTGAAACTATGGAATTTTCTTTTTGATGATGGAGATTCCTTACCATGTTCGCCTGGATTATGCTCTCTTCGAGTTGCCGCCGGGAAAAATTCTCCGATCTCCGCTGAGAGCTGGGGAAGCAGATAGTGAAATTCTTTTTTGGGAGTGAGAGGAGGGAAAGAGCAGCAACTGTACTACTGAAGCTTAACCCACCGAATTTACGAGTCTAACCCTGTCTAGTCCCTTCTTTCTTCCCTTCACGTCGACGGGGGCATTTCAGTATTTACAAACGAGAACGGAGGGTACGCTACGCTCCCTGAGCCGCGCTCTTCAATTTCTCTCGATTGAATTCTTATGGACCCTAGTGGCCGAAATTTTAAGATTTTGCACCGGCGAAGAGATGGCTGGCTCTGTTGATATGGTCGGTGGCGGAGGCCGTTCGGAAAAGGTGAAGGTGGCCGCGACCTGTTTGCTTCTCGCGGCGGTGGGAATATCGCTGTGGGGACTGTATTTCGGCGACGGAGAAGCGAAGCAATGGCGGGGGATGTTGAGAAGGAAGAAGAAGAAGGCAATCAGGGTTTACATGGACGGCTGCTTCGACATGATGCACTACGGGCACTGCAACGCCCTCCGCCAGGCGAGGGCTCTCGGCGACGAGCTGGTGGTCGGGGTGGTGAGCGACGCGGAGATCATAGCGAATAAAGGTCCGCCTGTGACTCCTCACCATGAGAGGATGGTGATGGTGAAGGCGGTGAAGTGGGTTGATGAAGTTATTGCAGACGCTCCTTATGCAATCACGGAGGAATTCATGAAAAAGCTGTTTGAAGAACACAGCATCGACTATATTATCCATGGTGACGACCCATGTGTTCTTCCCGATGGGACAGATGCCTATGCCCTTGCCAAGAAGGCTGGGCGTTACAAACAGATCAAGCGCACTGAAGGGGTGTCGACAACTGACATAGTTGGTAATGTTCTGCATCCGCCATTGATTGATTTTTGGTTTCCCCCCTTTTCTAATGGTGTGGATGAAATTAGGGTTCCTCATTTTTGCTTACTGCTTTATTTCTCTCTTCTTAAATTTCAAATTGAACCCAATAGGACGGATGCTGCTGTGTACGCGAGAAAGATCCGTTTCTGAGACCCGCCAAAGTCATTCTTCCCTGCAAAGACAATTCAGCCACGGTCACAGTCAGAAATTTGAAGAAGGTGGAACTGGCAGTGGCACTCGCGTTTCTCATTTCCTCCCTACTTCTCGTAGAATTGTTCAATTTTCCAACGGAAAGGTAACGCCTCGTCTTTCTTCCCCTGCTAGAGTGCTGTTCTTGCTTATCTAGTTTAGCAGTGCTATAGACATCCGACGTGGTGATCTTACCCCGAAGAGTTGTGTACAAATGGAGTTTTCAGTTCATCAGTTCATTGCTCATTTCTGTTAAATCGCTGCCTGCTTTCTCTGTTGTGGTTGAAGGGGCCTGGTCCGCATGCTCGGATAGTTTACATCGACGGCGCATTTGACCTTTTTCATGCTGGACACGTTGAGGTATGATGAGATAGTCTGTTTCTCGGTAAATTTTAGGCTTTTAGCTCCGAGGTTCATACCCTATTCCTGCTAGTGTTTCTCCTAGTGACCGGAGTTTCTTTCCACTGTTTCATGTACTTCCATTAGATTTTTCCCTTTTTTCTGCTTTGCTGTCTTTTTCAGCTTCAAGTGTTATTGATGGTACTACCGCTAGTACGTAATCCCATTTGCACATAGATTCGTTTTGACTTCTATCATATAGAGAGGTTAGATGTTATTTGTTTCAACTATTTAGCACTGAGACGTTCTGCTGCTGTGAATTTGTTGTACTGTTGGTTCATATTGAGCTTACCGTGCTCTAGTGCTGGACCTTATCATCCCTTTCAACTGGTTTTTTCTCGTGGATCCAACTGCTTTCTGCTTGCTACTTTGTTCCTTATCAACTCTGGTATTCTCATTTCTCACATGCTTGAAGAACGGGGATCTATAGTTTTCCTGTTGTCGTTTTGGTCCTTTCTGGCATTTTGCACCATTTGTTATGGCAGAACTAATTCGACACCCTTCTAGAAGTAGGCCAGTGTTGCTGGTCTGCCTACCCAAATTTTCTCTTCTAAGTTTTAGTGTCCTGCCAATTTTCCATGGATGAGTGCAATTTATAGACATCAGGGGGAAAGGGAAGCTACAGTGATTTGGTGTGTACATATGATTGATTTGTTTGTGAATATGAAACCTCAGTACCTCACATAATCAAAGTAGGAATGATATTGCTCATGCTTTATTATCGAAAAAAGATATTATTCGTGTTTACCAAGAATCCATGTTGTTTCAGATTCTCAGGATTGCTCGAGGGCTTGGAGATTTTCTTCTTGTTGGGATTCATAATGACCAGACTGTCAGGTAGCTTTCAGAATGCTTTTTAGGTCCTCTTTTAATCGTGTGCAATCTTCTTGTGCATCTCTGACTGTAAGTAGGACCTATAACTGTTTGATACTGTAGATTTGTACATGTGTTAGTAGAGAACGTTCACTCATTCTTCTCCGAATTAAGTTTAATATGAAAATAGCTTGGCAGCATGTGGCAACCATGATTTTGGTAGTTGCATCCAGATCCTTCTTTTATCATTTTGGGCAAAATTTCACGATCTCTTGGTGCTTGGCTGGTGATTTTTTATCATTTAGTTAAATTGGCAAAAGTCTGATGTTTTTTAGAATTGAAAGGGAGGATTTGAAAAAGAATATCTCATAACCTGCATGTACGGACCTGTATATTCTATCTTCACACTCTTCCTGCATCCACAATCCTTTTAACCAGAAACAATAAACATTTGTCTCAGTCAGCTTAAACAGGGTTGTAAGTGCAATATTTTTTCTGTAGTGACATTTGTGTTATGCCGTGTACCTACAGGCTTCCACACCTATGGTTTTTGCTTTTCGTACTTATCCCCAAAGTCATCTGATCTTTTCCTTTTTCTTCGTGGATCGATTCTGTAGTTCTAGTCATCTGATATTTTCCTTTTTTTCTAAATGGATTGATTATGTAGTGCCAAAAGGGGAACACATCGCCCGATCATGAATCTACATGAAAGAAGCCTAAGTGTGTTGGCTTGTCGTTATGTTGATGAAGTGATCATTGGTGCTCCTTGGGAAATTTCTAAAGACATGGTAAAGAATTTTATTTTAAGTTAATTCTGTCGTTTTTTGCATATGTTACAGCATGCTGGATGGATGTGTTTACAGAGCATTAAAATCAAATTTCGGCATGAAAGACATTTAGCAGTCCAATACCTTTTTCTAACTTGTTTTTGAAAGAATTTTCACTCGTGACTTGCTTTGGTGTAAATTGCTAATGACTGCAGATCACAACATTCAATATATCTTCTGTTGTTCATGGTACCGTGGCGGAGAACAACGACTTTGAAAAGGTACAATGTGGTGTATTGACTAATCAATTGACTATTTGCAATATGTGGTGGAAATGCTGCACGGGATGTTTTTAACTCGGGGCATATACTGAATCACAGGAAGAAAGCAACCCTTATGCTGTTCCAATCAGTATGGGCATCTTTAAAGTGCTGGATAGCCCTCTCGATATTACAACGACCACAATAATTAAGAGGATCGTATCCAATAATGAAGCATACCAGGTTTGTTTAGTGCAAACTGTTTGAATGTTTCAGTTTATGGTCGTGCATTCATTGGCATTGGCAAGTCTGATCTAAAGAATTTGAGTCCCTAAACCAAAACTTCTTACAGATGTGGTATTCTAAAATCTAAAGAGTGTTCCCTTATGTATTCGGCTTAAAAAGGATACCGAGCTCTCTGTTTGATCACCTCCCACACACTGCCTGATTCACTGTTCGGGTCTTTTATCCCGTGTGCAGAAACGCAACGAAAAGAAGTCACAGAGTGAACGAAGGTATTACGAGGATAAGACTCATGTATCCGGCGACTGAACCAAAATTGATGCACATTTCCTTTGCCTTGCTAGGGTCTTCTAATCTGCAAGTGAGTCCATGATACAGGTGTTTTTGTCCCACGGGAGGTATTTGTTTGTAGAACTCCTTGTTGAGTGCATTCATAGAGAAAATGCTGTTAGGGTAAGTACTGGAAGCTACATGTTGGAGGCAAAATGGAAGTAGAACTTAAATCTAATTATGTAGTTACTATTATTATTACTACAAGCATAGTAGTTGGTTCCTCATATTTCTTGTTCTATAATCTCTCTTACTCCCAAGGTGTTTATTCCATGGTTTACTAAATCGTACAATGACACACAATGATGCATTGCTCCTTAATCATTTTGCTGAGAACATGTTGCGCGTCATGAACAATGCCTAAAAACCTATGAAAAGCAAATATTTGAAATCAATTAATAATAATCCCTCAATCTTCTTAATCAACAACATATCTCATTTGTTCGAACTCTGTAACTAAAAAATCAGCATAGAAATTATATTAACGACGATATACACAATGACTGTGTTTGTGTTCTGTTTCATTCCCTCAAACTTTCCAAAAACCAAGTTCTTTTTTTTTTGCGAAACCACACATTTTCACAATTTTCTTAATTTTGAGTACAAATTGCCATGCTTTCCAAAACCTATACATATTAATCAAGAAGAAAATTAATTTATAAAATTATAAACCTTGTCATTTCTCAAAATCCATTCACTATTTCATTATAAAAACAAACTACTCATCATCACATCACTATATTTTATATTAATAATAAAAATAAAAATAAATATTTTACATACCATCAACTTTACTTTGTACAAACTACAAAGACTTAAACATGTTTTTCCTCCGACTTCGTTCATTTTGGTACTACCACATTGCGTCCTTACTCCTTACCTACAACTAGGGCCGGAAGTTTGGTACCGGTATTTGGGATATACCGAATACCGTACCGAATTTGTCTATATTTGGTATTACCGAATACACGTATTATTTCTTGGGATTGGGATTGAATTTCAATTGTTATTCGGTATTAGGGATTACGGGATTGGGATCGGGATATACCGAAATACCGATCAATACCGAAATATAAGCTAGTTTGTATTTTATCCTCTCAACTAAAGTCTCTCATTTACTACTAAATGACTCTCAACCACCAAAAGTGTCATTTAATTATACACAGATCATTCCATCATTATTAATAGTCGTCGCTCAACCTCTAATTCGTCAAATTAAAGATTATCAATAACAAGAACTTGAGATGTCTCCTCTTCTCCACTCTCCATAATAATATCCTAATTCAAAACTCTTTGCTTAGTCTTTTTCCCGTAAATTAAACAATAAAATCTAATTTATATATTTAATTATTAATTGCAAAGGTTATTAATTTCGTATTTGATAATACCGATTGGGATACCGAAGTACCGATTGGGATACCGAAATATTTAGGGATTGGGATTGGGATACCGAAATTATTTAGAAATTGGGATTGGGATTGACTTTAGGGTGTAATTCGGTACCGTACCAATTTCCACCCCTACCTACAACTGCATTGTTTGTTCGCTAGTCACTATCCAGTCTCCCACAAAATTATTGTTTAGGAAATACATTTATTAACCTTTCTTGTATTCCCTGCTGACGAACTCACTCTGTTACTTCACTTACCATATCTGTGACCAAATTGCATTAACGTTACATACCCCCTGCTCTCATGTGACTTACCATTTCTGGGATTGCATATCAATGCGGGCCATATAAATTTCCAGGAACCAATCAAAATCGAAACCCTCAAACCAATACAAGAAGATCTCACTTCTCCAACCCACAATCTCCGTAATCGGGCATTCCTCAAAAAAAAAAAAATGGCGAATCGGTCGTCAGGCAGGAGAAATCCCCGGCGAGCAACGTGGCCGCCGTGGGCAATCACGTGCATCCCTCTCCTGCTAAACGCCGCCGCCATCTACATCTTCGGTTCGAGCAGGAAATTCGAGTCGCTGCCCAAACCGGACTGGTTCCCTCCGCTGTGGGTGATTTATTTGGGCTCGATCGGGTCGAGTTTGGTTATGGGCCTGGCGGCGGCGATGGTTTGGGCTGGCGGCGGGTTTGTCGGCGGCGGCGCGGCCGTGCATCTCTACGTTTGTGAGGTCTCGTTGAGCCTTGTGTGGCCGCCGCTCGTGGTCCGGATCGGAGCCGGGTTGGTTGGATGGGTGTACTCCTGCGTGCATTTCGTGACGGTTTTGGGATGCTACTGGGCTTTCGGGAGGAGGAGCCCGAAGGCGAGGAAGCTCGTTGGGCCGTGTTTGGGCTGGGCCGGGTTTGTGACGGTTTGCACGTTCAAGCTGGTACGTGATTCCGAGGTTTCTACTTTCTGGGAGTTGGTTGATTTGTTTGTAGGGTTTCTGGTTGGGTGATTTGGCTGGATTAGGATGGGAGTGTTTAGAGCTTTACTGTCTGTGTAGTTTGTTAGTGGTTAGTCTGGGAGTGTGATGGCTTGTTCTAGATAAATGGAAGTATTTGATTCGAGGTTGAGAAATGTTATTTTGTTTTTTATTAAGTATGTTAAATTTCAAGTGATTTCGATTCTCGATTAATTGTTTTATTGTGAGCGTTGAATGAACGCTTGACATATTGTTTACAAAATTTTAACCACGTTGGTCCAATAATCATGAGGTGCCCAATACCCGACCGGACAGAGGAATGTAGTAAGTGCCCTAACTAGGGATGATAATTTCGACCTGACCCGTTTTACCCAATCTGTTTGGTCGGTTTTATGGCATGTCCGACCCGTCCTGCCTGGGCGGACATGAGTACTCTCATCGACTCAACCTGCCCTGGCCTGCCCGTATCGGCCTATTGCCATTCCTAGCCCTAACCGAATTGCTCAATGATCGTATCAAAAGCGGAGCTGAATATTTGGGCCAGAGCCCATCACCTACTTTTCATCCGTCCACCCAAGGCCCAAACCCTTCAAAAGCCCGGGAAAGTGGAGGCCGAAACACCACTGTTTTGTCTTTGTGCTAAGAATCATGTGTCACGTGTTCTTCAAACTTCAGTTACCAACGTTTGGGACAGCCGGACAGGGAGGGAGACGTCAAAATATGATATTTTTCACGCACAAATTACAGGCTGGGGAAATTGTTCGGCATCCAGTTGCCGTCGGTGGATGTGGAGAAGAAGAAGTTTCGCATGAGACAGGGAACTGTGACGAATTATCGTCCTTGTCGCAAAAGTCAGATGGGCTGCCGGCAGCCGCGTGTAATCCTTTTCGACTACTAGAGGGAAGTTGCTTGCGTCAGAATTACTAATTCTGCACCGGCGGGAGAACGACAGAACCGACAATATATTAGGCCACCGCGTAATTCTGTGCTAGCTAACCTCTCTTTCCAGCTATCACTTACCGCACTGGGTGGATCTAACTTGTAGCTTACGCCCCAAATGGTCAAATCAAACAATTTATCCCGGAAAATCCACAACTTGCTCCATTTCTGCACATTTAATTAATTTTATTTTCTCTTGTTTTTATGACGTTTAATTAATTTTAACTTAGTTGCATTTTATTAATTATTTAATTATCCATGTGAAGAGAATCAATATGAGAGAGAGAGACCCCCCAGTTGGCGCCGATCCTCTAATCAGTCCCGCTATCAACTGCACATGTGCTGTTCCTTTCATCTCCCAGCGTCCCCTCACCGTTGATTTCATGATCTGGATCTCGATCCAACGGCCTCAATCCGGTCAGCCCCATCTCACAAACCGCACTGGATCATTCCCCTCTTCCATTTTACTTCCGATCCGCGTAATATTCCAGAGACGACGTGCTTACGTGCAAATGGCACGCAGAATTATTCCTCCAGGCTGGGTTGGTCAGGCATCCGGCTACGTACCGGACCGAAACAGACCAAGTCAATCAGTCGGCTTTCCAAGACAAATGACAATTCGCAGCTTGAAACAAAAGGATGCATAACTGGTTCGATTCAATCGTGTCGCATCAAACCGGACATCGAGTCAGCGACCATTCCTGGGTTCCATAAGATAACAAAATCGGTTCGGTTCAAAACCAATTCAGGCCAGTTCAACGTGAATTATTTTCCCATTTATTAATGACTCCAATTTAAATATTTAAATTTTTTTATGTGGTCTCTTTCTTCTATCATTCATCTCTTCTCTGAGGAGTCTCCAGCTCTCGCTCACACTTCGCTGCTGTCTCGCCACCGACTGCCACGAATCTCAAATCACCCCTTGATTTCCCATTTATTTACGATCCCGCCACTCCTTCCATTTCCTTCTCCTTTCCTCTCTCTCTCTCAGCTCCGGCGCCCGGCAGGTAGCGCCATTATCAAATCCCACGGTCTTCATTTTCCCGGTGAGTCGTCCGGCGATTTTTTTCTTTTCCCCGGCCTGGTGGTGGTGACTCGGGGGAACGACGAGTCGATATGCTGGAAAAGTGCATCGGCCAGCAGCGGGTCCGCCGGATCCAGCGCGCGGCGCGGCAGGCGAAAATCACATTCCTCTGCCTCTTCATGACCGTCGTCGTCATGCGCGGGATGCTCGGCGCCGGCAAGTTCGGGACCCCGGCGCAGGACCTCGACGACCTGACGACTCACTTCTACGCGGCCAGGAAGCACGGGGAACCCCACCGCGTGCTCGTCGAGGCGCAGCCGGAGAACGAGAACGGGAGCGAGAACGATCCGAAGAACTACGCGACGTTCGATTTCAACAAGATCTTGAAAGACGAAGGAGGTGAAGAAGAGAAGCCAGATCCGAACAAGCCGTACACGCTGGGGCCGAAGATTTCCGATTGGGACGAACAGCGGGGCGAGTGGCTGAAGAGAAACCCTAATTTCCCCAATTTCATCAGGGAGAACAAGCCGCGGGTGCTGCTGGTGACCGGATCTTCCCCCAAGCCATGTGAGAATCCGGTCGGCGACCATTACCTCCTGAAATCGATTAAGAACAAGATCGATTACTGCCGGCTCCACGGGATCGAGATCTTCTACAACATGGCCCTGCTCGATGCCGAAATGGCCGGGTTTTGGGCCAAGCTGCCGTTGATTAGGAAGCTGCTGCTTTCGCATCCGGAGGTTGAGTTTCTGTGGTGGATGGACAGTGATGCGATGTTCACCGACATGGCGTTCGAGCTGCCGTGGGAGAGGTACAAGGATGTGAATCTGGTGATGCACGGCTGGAACGAGATGGTTTACGATCAGAAGAACTGGATTGGGTTGAACACAGGTAGCTTCCTGCTGAGAAATAATCAGTGGGCGTTGGATCTTCTCGACGCCTGGGCGCCCATGGGGCCTAAAGGGAAGATTAGGGACGAAGCTGGGAAAATCCTTACACGGGAGCTGAAAGGAAGACCTGTTTTCGAAGCAGACGATCAGTCCGCCATGGTTTATCTGCTTGCCACGCAGAGGGATACTTGGGGGAACAAGGTATATCTAGAGAGCGGGTACTATTTGCACGGTTACTGGGGGATTTTGGTTGATAAGTACGAGGAAATGATCGAGAATTATCACCCGGGATTCGGCGATCATCGATGGCCATTGGTGACCCATTTCGTGGGTTGCAAGCCTTGTGGGAAATTCGGCGATTACCCGGTGGAGAAATGCTTGAAGCAGATGGATCGTGCCTTCAATTTCGGTGATAATCAGGTTCTGCAGATATATGGGTTCACCCACAAATCTCTGGCCAGTAGGAGAGTGAAGCGGGTTCGTAACGAGACGGGCAATCCTCTCGAAGCGAAGGACGATCTTGGGTTGATGCACCCTGCTTTTAAAGCTGTGAAGGTATCAACATCATCTTGAGGTGAAGAACAATGGGGGGAGGTCTTCTTTTTGTTTAGGTAATGTAATGTATGTGCTGCAGACTCGATGTTCTTTTTTGCTTCTAATTTATTGAAACTGATACAGGTCGATGATTCTACAATGTAATTGCTTCTGTTTGTTCAGCTTGTGGTGGTAGTGGGATGGCAAGGCAACAGATCAAAAAGTTTATTGTATTCCCTTGTTCACACCTTTTGTGATTCTTGTTTTGTTAATTTAGTTCCATATCTTTTTTTGGGCCTTCCCCAAGGGGATGTACCAAAATTTTGGAAAGAAACAGTGGTGGGGAAAGTGAAAAGAACAGAGATTTGTCAATCTTACTGTTTGTTAGAAAGAGCTATAGTGTATGTGGATGAGATTGTTCCTCTCTGGTGTGTTGGAAATTTGGATTGTAGCTGTCTGCATTTGGCTTAGAAAGGTTTGCTTTACCCTCAGTAGCTATCAGATCAGATTAGTGCTTGGTTGGCCTAGAGAGCTATATCTCTACTTGGTGTGCTGCTGATGTGCAATTATGTTGTTAGGCTGAATGTCTTATGAGAGTGGTTCTGAAGAGTATGGAATACTAGTTCGGTTTTCGGGTTGTTAAGTTCGGTCAGTTACTGAAGGGCAGTTATTGTTGTTTGATCTAGTTTGGGAAGGATGATCTGGTTGAAGGTCTGACTCTCCTGAGCTGGAGTTTCTTTTGTGTGAACTGGAGCTTGTTAGCCTGGGAGTATGGAGCACTGGTCTTCGAAACCGTCTTTGTAATATACAAGTTTACGAGTCGAGCAGAGGTAGCTCGGAAATGCAGCCCTCAGCCATGGCCTTCGAGTTTCATCGTCATCATTGTCTGGCTGTTGGCCGAACTTCCATACAAAGGAGAGCAAGTAGATGCAAAGTCTGGTGGAAGGGTTGTTGATTAGTTTGTTCTGCTCTTCGTATTTGCAGGCAAGGACGGCTTCCTATGTTCTTTCAAGCTGGAATGTTGATTGCCGAAAGGGTTTGGACAGGGAACCAAACAGTAACTTGAGCTTTACTCCTCTCGCTCAGCTGTTAAACGTTATCTAGACGTACGTTACTGTCGAAGAAGGTTTGCGGATTTTGTGGTGATGAAAAACAGACTTGATTCTCAATTTCTCATTGATAATCCTATCAGCTAATATACATGGCCAGACGAGGGAAAGTAGCAACAGAAGATAACAGAAAGCTGGGTAAAATACCTCGATTATTTTTATTTCTAGAAAATACCTCAGCAGAATTGTGAGAGCTCCTATGGTGGTCGAGCTCGCTCCTGGTTCTACGTGATGCGCGATATTTTGGTGTTTGGTGTTTGGAGCATGGTATTAATAATGTTCGATTTGAAGGGGATGCTAAGGTTGTTATTGATAAAATTAACCAGGCGGATGCTCGGGATAGCACAATGGGAGGCGTCCTGGAGGAGGTCATTCGGCTGGTGTCTGCGCATCCGGGCTTTAGTATACGATTTGTAGGTCGGAGTAGAAATAGGGTAGCTCACTTGGTGGCTAGAAAGACCCTTTCATTGTACCCGTCTTCATGTCGTTTCTTTGATTTCTCGGTCTGGTTAGATTCCAGGGTTCAATATAATTGATTATCTTTTTGTCAAAAAAAATTGTGAGAGCTAATGAGCTATACCACTTAATTAATAATAGAAAATCACGTGCCATTGAACTCTATTATATGTACACATGGTACCATTTAATTGAAGTTTTAAATGAATATGAGGAACTCAGTGGCCAGAGAGTGAACTTGGATAAGTCGGCAGTTTGCTTTAGTAGAAACATTGTTTTGCCGGACCAGGAATTTCTGGCTGCCGTTCTGGGGGTAGGGGCGGTAGGGGTTCACGACAAATATCTAGGTTTGCCTACGCTCATTGCTCGGTCCAAGATGGAAACTTTCAGATATTTGGAGGAGAAGCTGCTGGAGAGGCTCCAAGGGTGGAAACAGAGGACATTGTCCTGGGCGGCAAAGGAAACTCTTATTAAATCGGTTGCCTTGGCTCTGCCATTGCACGTGATGTCCTGTTTCAGACTTCCCCTTTCCCTGTGTCGTTTATTGGATATACATGTGGCAAGGTTCTGGTGGGGGGAAGAGGAGGGGCAATCGCGAATCCGGTGGATGTCTTGGAGGAATATGTGTCGGAGTAAGCATGAGGGTGGGATGGGGTTTCGCCGTTTTGAGCATTTCAACCAAGCTCTTCTGGCTAAAATTGGTTGGCGTCTCCTTCAGGATCCCCAGTCCCTTCTGGCTCAGGTTTATAGAGGGAAGTATTATCCAACTGGTTCTTTCCTCTCGGCAACAGCGCGATCCCGCCCCTCATGGGGGTGGCAGAGCATTCTGTATGGTCACCAGTTGCTAGAGGCCGGTCTTCGTTGGCAAATTGGGGATGGGAAATCAGCCTCCCTGCTTCACTCTAACTGGATCCCTCATCTGCAACTAGATTCCCCTCGGTATAATCCCAGTATCTTACCAAGTGACGGAGACCTGGTGGTGGCTGATGGGATTAGCCCAGAGGGGGGTCAATGGTGTGACCAGAAATTGAGTCAGTGGTTTGATCCGCCTACTTGTGTGGCCATTAAAACCATTCCCCTTCCTCGGTTGCCGGTGGAGGACAGATTAGTTTGGCATAATACTCCTGAGGGTATTTTCTCTGTCAAGTCGGCATATCACTTAGCTGTCACTCTTGATAGGAGGCAGGGTCGTTGGAGGTCTGAGGTGAGTTGGATGGATAAGGCCAGTTGGATCAGGTTGTGGGATGCTGATCTCCCCCCTAAGCTGAAGGTGTTTGTTTGGCAAATCTTGAATCGCATGCTACCTACGACGGAAGCTCTTATTGCCAAGGATGTTCCGGTCTTGCCTAGGTGTCCGGTTTGCTGGGCTGATTCTGAGACCTTGGAACATCTGTTTCTCTTTTGCCCGGTCGCTCGGGCGTTATGGGACTATGCGGGACTTGCGTCGTTAGGCGAAGGATTACCCCAACACACTTTTCCTCTGTTTCTTAAGAGATTGATGGCTCGGATTACTCAGCCGTCCGCTCTCATGGCAGTTGTTGCGGTGCTTTGGCGGATCTGGCGGTCTCGCAATTGGGTGGTCTTTGAGGGCAAGCAGTTTGGGTTTCCTGCGCTTTTACGTCAGTACTATCAGCAGTATGAGGAATGGGTTGGCCTACCTGTGGATCGGCACCCTCGCACTTTGGTTGCTACCACTTCACCAGCAGAACCAGTAGGGGCTGGTCGGCTGATTTGCATGTGGGATGGAGCAACGAGGACGGGCTCTCATTCGGCTGGGGGTTTTGTTATTTTTACACCGACTAGAGAGATCCTTATGGCTGGAGGGGTGCAGTTTCCAGGTATTGATGACCCATTGGTGGTCGAGGCGTTGGGGCTCCGTGAAGCTATTATGTGGTGCCAGACGCAGGGGCTTATGGAGGTGTGCTTTGAGGGGGATGCCAAGGTCATTATTGACAAGATCAACCAGGCGAATGTTAATGATAGTCGGATAGGGGCTATTCTGGCTGAGATTATGCACCTCTGTGCGGTTCAACCAGGGTTTAGTGTTCAGTTTGTAGGTCGGGGTAGCAATAGGGTAGCCCATTTGGTGGCTCGAAAGGCCCTTTCTTTGTTCCCGACTGCGAGTCGTTTCTTTGATTTCCAGTCCTGGCTGTTCTCCAGGTTGTAACTTGCTTTTGTTCTGATCAATGAAGATTATCTTTTGTCAAAAAAAAAAAAAAAA